GTCCATTGTGTGTAAAGATGGTGTCACTGATAGAGACATTTCCTACAGTTGCTTTCTTAGGAGCACCTTACTTGACTTTACTGTTTCTGCACGCTCTGACGTCATGTGCTGGTATCCTCAGATGAATCACGATAACACTCTCCAGGAAAATGACGTGTCGTGGAGCTCCCCATGCTTCTCCCAGCAGACACTGCTGCTTGCTGAGGTCTCTGGTCTTTTAGGGAAGGGACTCTGTGTCTCTACAGTGATGGTTCCCCCTAGCAGTGTGTCCAAGTTTTCGACATCACAATTACAATATGGCATTGTGATCTGTGAAGTTCATGCTGGAGACCTGTACAACCAAACTACTCACCCCTGTTGGGAGCAGTGAGACCCCAGGTCTTGAATTTCCTGTAATCCCCTGATCTGCGTGCCTACAGCTGCTCTGAGCATGAGACCTTCAGGAGTTCCTGATGGCAGGAGAGTGGTTTCTGGTGGGTTTGGCTGGGGCACGGCTATCTCTATATAATCTGCCCCTGAACACAATAAAGGGGGCACTCTTGGGGAATTCAAGGATGACCCATGTCACTGTCTCTCTGTCTGTGTGTTTTAACCTCCAGCCCCTTGCCCAACGCTCGCAAACTGGGTGTCAGCACACAGAGCGCAGACACGGGGGCGTGGAGCCTGGCACACTCCCACCCCCAAAGAATCTCAAGAAAAAGTTCTCATGTTTGAAATTTATAGATTTCGCTTGGGGTCGCATTTATAGTCTTCCTTGGCCACATGAGGCTGCATCCACAGGCTGCATGCAGACACCTGAAGCATGTGAGCTCTGTTCCCTTTGCTTCAAGAGGGAACCACTTCAGAGAAATCTCCTCTCAGTCACGGCAAGTTGGAAGTCCCAGCTGTGCTATGTCCATTGTGATTCAATCACCTACATTGGCCACACTTCTTTTTGTAACAGAGCCCCAAGTCCCTCTGTTTGCTGGAGTTCCACGATCTGAACAGGTCAGGGTATCTCTCACAGAGATTCAAAATGACGGTTCTGATTTCCTGGCAGGACACCTATGGGGAAAATGGTGCCCAGCACATCCTCCGTCATGACTATGTGAATGATTTAACAGACTCATGCTTACAATATGTTCTCATTATGTATAACCTTCATTAAAAGCAATTAAAACCTGGCCAAAGTTCTTTTCAGATGATTAGTAGACCCAACTCCACTTCTTCCTTTGGGAGGTCAGTTAACAAAAACAAAACAACTGTCTCTATATCAGCATGACTGGTGCCTGTAGTTTAGAGGCCTGAGGCTTCCCAGTAGCTGTGGTCTAGTTGTTGTGGAAAGACAGAGAAAGAAAGGAAGAGAGGGATAGAGAGAGAGAGAGATCAAGAAAGAGAGAAGGGGAGACATGGAAAAAGATGGAGAGAAAGAGGAAGAGAGAGAAATAGTGAGGAAAGGGAATGGGGAAGAGAAGAAAAGGGAAAAGGAAAAGGATCCCAGGTCCTGAATAAAGATGGCAGACCTTGGTACACAGTTTGATTAAAATCTTGTCCCAGGCTAACATGATTAAAAATAAAGTTTCCTATCAGCTATCCATCAATTATAAAACATAGAAAACTGGCTGACAGAATGGGTTAGCAAGCAAAGGTGCCTGCCAGCAACAAAGCCTGAGAGCCTGGGTTCTACTGTTAGAACCAAATGGTAGGAGAGAACTGACTCTCACAAGCTGTCCTCACATATACAATAAATTTAAAAGTGAAATTAAAAACATAAAATTGTCTTTTAAACTCAGTGCTTAGGGGATAAAGGCAGTTGAGCTTGGAGTTTGAGGCTAGTCTGGTCTACAGAGCAAATGACAGGACAGCCAGGGCAGTTACATAGAGAAATCCTGTCTCAAAAAAACCAAACAAACAAAAAACCCAAACCCAAAACAAACAAAAACAAAACTGGGTGGTAATCAACCATCATCTTGTGGAGCAAAGAAAGCTCCTGGCTTGGGTTCTAATTAATGCTGGTAGTATTTCCCATGATCAGATTTGGAGAGTCATCTGAAGCACGAGTAATATAAACTGAAATCAGGGTTTGACCTGAAGAGATGAAAAGTAAAACATCCAGCCACTGGCTCTTACCTCGACCTCAGTCCAAAATGGTGATCCTACCCTCCAGGATCTCAGAATGGGACTGACTGAGAGCCGTCTCCTACTATTTTGTAATCCTCTCCAGGGCTGGGATTAAAGGCATGTATCTCCTGATTTCTATGGCAACTAGTGTGGCTGCTGGAATTAGAGGTGTTACCACTGCCTGGTCTGTAAGGCTGACCAGTGGGGCTGTTTTTCTCTCTAATCTTCAGGCAAACTTCATTTACTAAAACACAAACGAAATATGACTACAGTCCACATTCTCTTGACTTGAATTCTGGAATCAAGTTAGCATTGTTTGTGAAATTCACTACAGAAGGGCTCAAGAGCAGGTCAGTAACTCTATCAGGAGGAGATACAGTTGTAAGACATAAAACAATGCTTAACTTCTTTTCCTAGATAGTGTCTATGATGGAGGTCATCGAATTAATAAATTATTTGATTCCATGTGTGTGTTTGTAGTGTATGTATGTGTGTGTGTTGTATGTGTGTATGTGTGGTGTGTATGTATGTGTGTGTGTTGTATGTGTGGTGTGAATGTATGTGTGTGTGTTGTATGTGTGGTGTGTATGTATGTGTGTGTGTTGTATGTGTGTATGTGTGGTGTGTATGTATGTGTGTGTGTTGTATGTGTGGTGTGTATGTATGTGTGTGTGTTGTATTGTGGTGTGTATGTATGTGTATTGTGTGTGTGTATGTGTGGTGTGTATGTGTGTGTGTGTCCATGTGCATGTGTGCACATGCTCTTGTGTTTATTTATATACCGCAAAGCTCCGGGGTTGTTTCTCAGGAACCATTCACATTTTCCAAGTGGTTGACTGATTGGCTAGGCTGCCTACCAAACCCCAGGGATGCTTGTCTCCATCTCCTCAGCACTGAGATTGCAAGCACAGCACTGTTTGGTGTTTTCACCTGGGTCCTGGGGATTGAACTCAGGTCCTCGAGCTTGCATGGCAAGCCCTTTACTGACTGAGCATCCCTCTGCCCCAGCCCCAACTGGAGATCACTGCGGGGCTTGAGTCTTACTCTTAGGTCTCCTTACAATGGCCCCAGCGACCTGAGACGGGAACTCGGGTCCAGGATAGGGGAATCACTGTAGAGTGTGGGATGTGGTTGATCCCATCCCTGACCAAGAATCCATCACCATTCTTAACCTTCTGATTCCACCCTCAGAGATCATTCATATTTCATTTATAGACGGCACACACAGGCTTCCAAGGTTTCCAGGGACTTGCCCAGAGCTGGCTAGCTGGATGCTGGGAAAGTCTCTAGGCAGGAAGGGCAGACAGAGGGCCCCACATCTCCTGCTTGTTCTACTAGGGGTCTACAGACTCTGCTGAGGTCCTGCTCACAGCTGTGTGTGGCAGAACCCTGGGAAGGGAATTCCTCTGCCTGGACTCCCAGACATAAATGCAAAGTTCACAGGTCTTGACTCTTTCCCACAGAGGAACATGTGTTTTTGTGGAAAGACCACACAGAAGAGTCAGGATCTCGGTTGTTTCCAGAATCTGGCCTGTGCTGGCCATTCAGCCTGAGTTGCATTAGGGAACCAAGGCCACATCCGCCTGGAAGGAATTTAGAGATTGTTTCTTCTGGTGCTTCAGAACCACTGGTTAAAGCAGACTCCTGGGCTTCCCTCCCACAGACTCTGATTTAGTGAGTCTGGAGCAGCACTGGATCCTGGCTTTTCCAGCAAGCTTCCAAGGCATGCTGATTCATGGACCACACTCGAGTAGCTTTGGCCAAATACTTTCTTGTCTTAAGAGGGACTGGCAGGTTTCTTCCTAAAGACCAGAAAGTATATATTTCAAGGTCTGTAGGCCAGTCAATCACCACCGCAAACTACACAATTCTGCTGTTATAGCGTGAAAGCAGCTGTGAGCAGTGTGTACAGACACAGATATAGCTGTCTTCTGACAAATCCATACAAAGCCAGAAGGAAGTCTCAGCTAAAGCTGACTGATGCCCCTCTCTAGGACTTTTCCTATCTTCAGCATGGTTTGGGCCTTCCTGATCACGTATTTACAGATACAAAACACGTGACTAAAAACAGGGGTGTTAAGCTGGGAGTACTGGTGCACCCCTTTAATCCCAGCACTTGGGAGGCAGAGGCAGGTGGATCTCTGTGAGTTTGAGGCCAGCCTGGTCTACAAAGTGAGTTTCAAGATCACCAGAACTAGATAGCAAGAACCTGTCTTGAAAAACAAAACACCCAAACAGGGGTGTTGTTTCCAGCCATTCATGACAATGATCAAGAGATCAAAGATTCAACAATGAAGAACCATCCTGTACCAGGTCAGTGAGGACTACATCACCAGCTAGTGTTACTATTGGTGTCTCAGGTGAGTTAGTGCTACATCACCAGCTATAGTGTTAATACTGGTATCTCAGGTGTTAGTACTACATCGTCAGCTACAGTGTTACTACTGGTGTCTCAGGTCATTTAATGCTACATCACCAGCTAGTGTTACTATCGATGTCTTGTATTTAAAATACTTCTAATTTTTAAATCATTGTCTTTGTGTGGGCATGTGTGTGTACAGGCCAGTAGAGGCCAGAAGAGGGCCCTGATCAGATCCCCGGGCACCGGAGTTAACTGTTGTTAGCGACCCTCTGCAAGAACAGTAGGCACCCATATAACTGCCGGCCCACCTCTCCAAACCAATTCTGTTTAGATTGAATTTGGCCTTACATATTTCCTGAGTACGTGTATGGAAAGGTAAGAAAAGGGAACACTCACTTAAAAGGGTCATTAAGGAACTTTCTCAGGGTCCATAAATACACACAAAACAGCTTCCACAAGGCTAGCAAGACGAAACACACACAGACGGCCAGGAACTTCTTATATGCACACTTTAAGGAACATTCTACAAACAGGCACATAAACCAACGAGTTATATTATCTTTATTCATGTTAGAATTTCTATCAGTGTTTGAACATTAATATTTAGAGAGTTTTGTACATTTTCATCTGAGAACCATACCAGGTCACAAAGCTCACGCCAACACTTCCCAATCCCACGGCTAGCTGCTTCCTTGCACTCTCTCTTAACACTGTTAAATGTGTCCTCTTCCCACGGCTAGCTGCTCATCTGCACTCTCTCTCAACACTGTTAAATGTGTCCTCTTCCGTGAAGCCATTTACCACGGAAGGTGTCCTCACTCTCGTGTCTTAGCAAAGTTCCAGACATTACGGATTTCATCACATATAAATTCTTTAAAAATATACTTCTGTCAAAAGACTTGGTGACTACTATGTACACTACAAAAATAAATTTTCATATAAATAAATTATATGGCATACTTTCATCTTTGTAATTGAAATGACACAAACTCATTCCCACCCAATTTGGCAGACAACGAGACCCAGTTTGAATATTTATTTCCTTTAAACTCCTGACACTAAAACCTACCATGAGTCCTTAATGTAGATGTTATATACTCTGAACTATTTAACATTAGTAAGCACTCTATACAAATAAAAACTTCTGTTCAAAAGTAAAACATAACCGCAATAGTGTTTCCAATAGAAATAAAATCCCTGCAATTTTTTTTGTTGCTATAAACTGGCATGACAGACTCTGGAGGACATTCTTATGATACAAAATTATAAATATCAGCAAAGATCTTTTCTCTTAAAAATTAAAACATCCAAATGAACAAACAATACAGACAAAATAAAACTATGAGGAGACAGAGAACACACACACACTCCGAGACTGTAGTCTCTTGTCAGCTCTGCGTCCTTCCTGCCTTGGCTGATGCAATTCACGACACACAGAAACCCAAGGGCTGTACAAACTTCCTTATGCCGCGAGCGAGGCTTAGGAGTGATGGACACAACCAAGAATTGCAGGGAAGCGGCTTCAGAATTTTACATCTCCCTTCTCAACTCAGGGTGCAAGTTATCTGAGCAGAGCTGGTTTTGGGTAGGCAGACAGTGGCTTGACAGGCATTAAGACAGTAGCAGTGGGTGGCCAGGGCCTCTGGCATACACACACACACACACACGCACGCACGCACGCACGCACACACATGCATGGTAGCCACAGGTGGCTTCCAATTAGTACCTTACAGTTTGGGGATGAGCGTTACGGTCTGAGGTTACTAGAGTGCTGGTACTACTAGGGGCTCAGTACCTTACAAACGTGCACGCAGGAGAGGAGGGATGGAAGGAAACTGCATGCAGAGTGCACTCCTCACAGTAGCTTCCATGGGACACAAGCTTCCTTCCTCTGACACAAGCCTTCGGTGCTCACTCACAAGGGAGGGTACTGCACTACCGTCTACTAGTCTCTGGCCAGAGGCAAAGAAGCCTAAACCTCAGGGAAAGAGACCTGGATCAAACTTCAAGATTTAACATCTGCTTCAAAGAGTGTTATGGGACAGCATTTTCCTGCTCGTCCACGAACACCACACAGGATGAATTCTAACATTGGAGAAGGAAAGGAGTGTGCACAGGAGGACGAGGACACGTGGAGAAGTCTTCAGAAGTTCATGTCCCACAATAGCTGACTGTACCACCATCAGCACACCCCAACCAGGCAGCCCATTTAGCGAGGGGGATTCAGATTTCTAAAGGTCTGAGTGTAGACCTTGAATGATGTAGATTTTTCTGCCTGTATCTGGGTTATGGGGGTGGGAGGCTGTGTGTAGGTGTTGGTCATCAGAAAGGTACAATGAATGTCACACTTCTCTTGGGTGTCAGCTCGTGACCCAGCTGAGATTCACTGCCAATGAAGGTGGCTGGTTCCATACACAGAGGTCCGAACACCCCACGTTAGGACCTATGAGAATGTATTCTCTTTGAAGCACAAGGGGAGGTTCCTGGAGGACTACCCATGACCTCAGGAGCTGCCAAAAGCATCAAAGATGACAGGTGCACCCTTCCACCAGCACCGAGACAGAAAGGGACCTGGACTTTCCCAGCTTGACTAGGCCAGCACTAAGGGCATAGGAAACAAAGAGAAACAAGAAGAGCAACAAAACAAATCACAGTACAGTACACTGAGAGATCACACATTCACACACACACACGGAAACACACCCTTGAGAACTGCATAAACGATCCCTAGAGAAGCCACTGGGATTAACCTGTTTTCTTCATGTCTGCTCGTTAAACAATTATCACGCATAGCGTGTTCAAAAGTTAACAGTAACATTTCATCCTACCACAGGGTTGTGATATGCAAATTTAAAATATTTTAAACAGAAACCTTTACAAATAATCCTATTACATAAGCAATATTTGCATAGAATTATACAAGTAAATTATACAATATTTAAGCAGCAGCGACATATGCTGGGAGATTTTAAAAACTAAGTTAAGCTTGGTTGCGGCACAGAGACGAATGTACACAGGGGGAGGGACCCCTGTGGTCTCTCCACTCCGGGGCAGGAGTGGAGAGGCCCCAGGCCATAGACTTTACAGCATTTCCATGTATATTACATGTTTACACCTCTTAAATATTTATAGAAATATTTCACAAAATAATACAATCAATTACAGTAACAATAAACTGCTTTCCCATAATTCCAAGCAGTTTTCTTCAAGCAGTCAGTACTGGAAAGAGGTGGGGGCAGGTTTATTTATTTTTTTTTCCAATCTTTGGCCTCTTTGCTTCAGATTTTAATTACCCTTTAAAAGAAAACAAAAAAGGAAGTCACATCACGGTCACGACCACAGAGCTGTGTGCCTCTCACACCGCACAGCCCGTAACTCCGGGTGGACACTGAGAGCACAGGAACTCTACAGTGGGCTGACTGTGGAGCTAAATTCATTTCACCTGTCTTCACCTTGCAGGGTCATCTGTGTGCTCATTAGAACTGCTGTGGGCGGCGGCAAACAGGCGCAAGGTAACGCCGCTAAACTGCTTTCAAGAGATTACTAGAAATCCAGTTTGGAACTGTATTGGTTTGGCCGCACCAGCCTTGCCTTGGGGAGGAAAGGTCCCCCAGGGTCCAGTCTGGGGTGTGCTAGTGCTCAGGAAACCCTGGAGAGCACCCCTGGGGCACACGCCTCAGTCGGAGCTGCTCCCCCACGGCCTCTCCTCACACTCCACGTCCTGCAGCTCTATGACCTCCACCTTCGAGTCCCTCCTCTCGCACCTGACATGAAAAGGCACATGGGGGTCCTCGAACACCCCGTGGTCAGTCTCAGGGTAGCTCTCGTAGCCCGGACAGGGTCCCCCTCGGGGGTGGCGTCCAGGCCCTGGTGGGGGATGCACAGCGACGGTCACAGACGCGGAAGCCGTCACAGTGGTGATGGGCTGGCCATAGCTGGGCACAGAGCTGCCCATGGCAGCGGACGTCGGGTTCCGAGGGTTGTGAGAACGGGTCCCACGGGGGCCTGAGCGGTCCCTATTGCTAGGGCCAGAACGCCCTTCAGTAGAAATCTCAAAAGCGTCTCTGCGCGGTCTGTACGGGGGTGGCCGCAAGCCTTCTCTAGGGGGGTCCCTTTGAGGCTGCTGGCCTTGTCGTCCGGGGGACAAGGAGCCAGAGTCCAGGTGCGGCTGCTGTCGAGGGTCCAAGGGAGGGTGATGTCTCGGTTCAGGATGGACCACCTGCAGAGGTGACACAGGTGAGCACAGGGAGGCAAGGTGATGTCCTTCCACCCACAGAGGAAAACCCACTCCTTTAGTAACATCCAGGGTGTGGATCCTGCCTGCTCCAGCACAGCTGTCTGGAGGCATATAGCTGCTGCCCACAGCTTCAGGAACATCCACAAACCAGCTACCCAACTGACCAGTCTCTCCAGACCCTGGGTTCTTTTCCACAAAAATACTAAGTGTCTGGCTCTGGACGGCCAAGAGGCAGGGTGGGATACTGGTACATAAGCAATCATATACAGTAGCTTTTAGAGACATCAAGGTTCCAGTGTCTGGGCCATATATTAGCCTTGCTTCACCTGACCCCCGCCCCCCAGCCCCAAGCCAGGTGTGGCCAGGAGCTAACATACTGAAGAGCAGAATGCAAACTTCTGCCATCACTGATAGTTCTGTTAGACGCATTTGTCTCTGCCTGGCCATTAGGAATCTGGTTTCTGGGTCTCTGTACAAAGCCCGAGCAACACAGTGGCCACATCAATCAAAAGGACCGTGACCAACTTCAAAGTCGTTGAGCTTGTACCTATTTTTAGGCTCCCGCTGAACAAAACCAGATTCACACTGCAGCTCAGCAGGGCATCGTCATGAGGGCGGGGGGGGGGGGGGGGTCACGACGACGACACAATTCACTGGCCAGCCACTCTTTCCTTCATGGAAGACTGCTCTGGCCTGGGACTTGAGTACACATTTCCTGTAAGGACGGTGGGGGCCTTGGGCAAGCAAGGGGAGCTTTGGAGCCTTCCTCGGCTCTTTAAGGCTGAGCATATCTTGACTGGGGGGCTAGGGTGGGTAAGGAAGGAGCCTGTCGACTCCTCTACCCTCTGGAATTAAGGGAAGAACTCAGAATGCTTCTGAGCGTCAACAGATCTCCAGGCATCTACAACAGTCAGAGCTTGAAGCCACAAAGCTATGGGAAAGCCTTAGATAATAATTAAAATAATTTTGTACCAAGGCCAATTAAAGGTAATAGAGATGAGAAGAAAAAAAAAAGCTTCTCATGGCAGTACAATATTTATTCCATTTCCTCATATTCTGAAATGGTAGGTGGGGTAGAAGCAGAAAGGGGGAAAGGGGTAACGGCCTGCAGCTGAGTCCACGCTGACTAAGGGTGGGGCTGGGGATGAGCCCCAGGGCTTTGAGTATTTATTCTAGGCCAGCTATGCCTCCCTGCAACAATGTGGACACTGCCGCTTCAGTCATAGTTTACAAAGAATGGCATGCTGGCAGTTTCCTGTGATCTGACATGGTATATACACTTTTCTCCTGCACCCATCTGTCTGTGAGATCTGCTGCTCAGATCTCCCTGGACCTCCCCTGGACCTCCTGGCCCACTGCCAGAGGAAAGATGAATCCTTCCCAGTACCCCAGGTGACTCACAGTGGACCGGGCAAAGACGGGGTTTTCTGTGGCTTCCACAATCACTTGGTGGGCAGGACCTCCGGAACCCTGCTGTGCCTCATAGTGCCTGAGCTCCTCGCTGATGCCAGACACAGTGGTCTGCGAGCTGTACTCCGAGTCAGAAGAATCAGACCCATTGTTCATGTGACCAGGAGGCACTGCAAACCGGACAACACTCGGGGGTGGCTCAGGCGAAGGAGTGGGCAGCCGGTTCAGGCCATTGGCTGGAGACACCTGTTTATGGAGATTCCCAATTAAAAGTGTTACATTTCGTTTATCTGTTGGCCCATCTTAAAGTTCATTATCCTCTGTCACCTGACAGAAGAACCCACACATCATCCTGTATCTACTCCCCTCTCCCTGCCATCTGGCAGACCTTCAAGATACTGGCATAAAAGCAGTGCCTATGTCTTCCAACGCCAGAGAGGCAGGACGGATGCCTTTTACGCCTGTTAAGCCCACACACTTATCTGAAGTAGAAAACCTTCCTTTACACATCCCCAAGACTAAAGCTGCCCATCTGCTGACCTAAAGCAAAGTTTGCTCCCGAGCCCCCAGCCTGAGCTCTCAAGCGCAACAGTAAAACAGCCACTGTTGCTCAATATTTACTAAAGAGGTCACGCCATCAGCAGAACCTAAATATCTAAATGGGGACTGGGGAAAGGAGGTGGCTTGTGGGGTGAATGCCTCACCCTGGTAATCACTGACCTCAGGACAGGGTCCAAAGAAGGACAGGAGGACAGGCAGCAAAACCAGTCCATTGAGAACCCCCAAGACGGTGAGGATTGCCAGGACAGCAAAGAAGTATCTGGAAAACAAAAGGGAAGTGGGACCGTCAGTGTGAAAAGCAAGCGTTCTGCCCTCCAGGCACCAAATGTTACTCTGCACCAAGGGCTCAGCTCAACAATCCCACTGCTCTGAAAAGTCAGCCACAAAACTGCAGTTCAAACTCTAACACAAGATTAGTGTGGGGTTTTGTTCTTTTTTAACCCTACGACTCCGCGGAGGACGTTCCACACACTAGAGTGTTAGTTCATGAAAGGAAAAAAAAATTAGTTTGTTAATTTGCTGAAATCTCATGCCTGTAATGTTATTTATGAACGTGTTCCACCAACACAGAAATATGGAATGTGAAATGAATGGCTGAACATCCTGAAAGCACAGAGACAATGCCGAGGGGCCCCGCTCACGAAAACCCAGCAGAAATTTAAACAAATGAAGTGAAGGGTGTAGAATTTAAACAAATGAAGTGAAGGGTGTAGAATTTAAACAATTTGGCCCAGGAGGAAAAGCAGCCCGCTTCTGCAGGCAGCTAATCCACTGTGAAATGCCCCTGCCTCTTACGGCAGAATCTCTAATTAAGTCTCCAGCGCATCAGGTAAGGGTTTCCCTGGGCTTTCATTAATCACAACTTTCTGCCTAGAATTCTCTGGGTTCCAGTTTTACCAAATAGCTCCGATTGCAACCTTTTTTTAGAACACAGGAACCAGCTCTGCAAAGAAAACCCTGCCCATTCTATGGGAGCCGGGGCATTGTGCGGGGCGAGGGCACTCCACAATGGCAGGCTGCTCTGCGGGCCAATCTTTTGTTGAACACTTTAGCATCTCTGAATACTCTTGTTTTGCGTCAGCCAATTCAAACAGAAAGGCTGAAGCACCACGGCAGAAGAGGGAGAGTGGAGAACGAGTTCTGCGTTCCCACCATTGAGGGCTAAAGGTCTGGGATCCTTCAAGAATACCCAAGGTAAACCTGTCAGCCAGGGGCCGCTTCTGGCCAGCACTATGCACAGCTGGAGGGTGCACGCTCCACGCAAGGATGCTTCTCTGGAACTAATGATTTCTAGGGCTTTGATGGAACTGGGCTGGGGGGGTGGGGGTGGGGTTAGGATGTTCTGGAAAGAAAGAGGGAGGGCCAAATATCTATCTGTTAATGGTGCCCCGGACCATAAAACTGAACAGCCACCCTGCAATGCCATGTCTATGTATGTTCTGACATCAGATGAAAGGAGAGAGAATCCCTATAAAAATACAAATACCTCACAGCTATTGTAAACACTAAAACCCGCTGAGTTGCATTAGTAAAAACCCAAGCCGCCAACGTCTTGCTCTAACGTAAACTGTGGGACTTTCAGCGGAGGCATATATCAGCGGCAGGCATTAAGACATTTGCATCCCATCCATCTAGCTGCAGCATAAACAGACCAATTAGATTCCTGACGGCTTCATGTATACAGTGTCTGCTCATCTATTCAACTCCAGTGAGGACTTTATCCGCCCTGTTTTAGAAAATGGGAAGCCCTTCTAAGTGCTTGAAACAGGAACCCTGATATCTCTGGGCGGGGAGGAGCACAGCCCCAGCAAGGACAGCGAGGAAATGGGCTCTGCTTTGTTGTGTCCATTGTAGAGCTGGGCGCTAGCTTCTCGGCTAACCTGCAAGGTTCCAGCACACCCTCCATTTATTTCTCTTGGCTTTGAACTGCCTGCCGAGACTTGAATCTCCCAATCCCAGCAGAGTATACGTCACACAACCAAGAAGGTTATGTGCTACTTGCCAGTAGTCACAAAAAATGGCACTCAAGAGGCTGGTATCGCCTTTGTGTTGGAAGAGCCCAGAGACCATGCCAAAGCTTGGTACCAGAAAGACAAAGCTAGAACCTGTGTAAGGGCATGCAGAGAAGTGCCAAACCAACTTTAAAACAAGGCAAACCTAATCAAGATCTAAGTCAAGCCAGCTACCTCACCAGTGTTTGGCAAAGGAGACCCTACTGACCAATTTGCTAACCTGTCAGTAGGCTGTGTGAAAACTCGCATGCTCGGGCTCACGGGAGAGCTGTCTGGAAAGGCCCCTGTCAGTCTGCACCTTAATAGCCCCAGATTATCAGGAAGTGTCTCACAGAGAATGCTGGTCTACACTGAAATGATCCAACCTCAGCTTACTCTACCCCCAAACAGTGAGCCAACCATGTCCTCATCCAGAAAGATGGATACTCTGGAAGCTTGGCTGCCCAGTGGGCTATGCCTCAAGACTGGTCCTTTCTTTTCCCTCCTCTGGTGGTGGGGATTGAACCGACTCGCCCCATGCAGCTTAGCCAGGTACTTGTTGTATCATTGAGCTACACCCCCAATGTAGCTAATGCTTGTCTTGTATTAATCTTCAGCTACAACTTCTAGCTAAAAGCCCGCTTTTCGTCTGGAAAAGTGAGCTTCCCTCCTTGGCTGGCCTGTGTAAGTGTAAATCTTGATAAGAGCCAGATGTGGTGGCACACGCCAATACTTTTAGCACTTCGGGGGCTGAGGCAGGACAATCAGAAGTTCAAGGCTATTCTCTGCTACATAACAAGAATGAAGCAAACCTAAACTACATGAGACTTGTTTCATAAACAAAACCCCCAACCCCCAACCCCTTAAAAACCATTTTCTAGTCTTCCTCACTCTTTCCTGACTTAAATACACAGTAGTATTTTTCCTGAGGCATGGCCTGAGGAGCAGCCAAACTCTACAGAAGTTTTAGCCCAGAGCAAAGCACAGTGCAATTCTGTTTTGAAGAGTACCAATAAAAGAAAAACCAAACAATGCTACCAAGAACAGCCTGATTAGGTAATGTCTCCAGACGTGTGGCGCATTGTACACACTCTCTGGGCTCTGCCTTATTCTAAAGACACGCTAGTATCTTACATACTGAGGATGCTGGATTGGCCTCTTTGCAACAGACCATGGTTTTCTACCTAGGAGCAGACAGCTTGTGAAGTCAACAGCACCGTTGAGAGAGTACAGTTTCCTTCTGGTTCCAATCTGAAGACGCTTTTTCAAAATGAAAACTCACTGTCTTTTATACTTTGGAAAAGTCACCATCTTACCCATCCATACCATGAAGTAATAGGGGCGGCGGCAGGGCTGCGTCCCCAACACCCCAGCCGCCTGCCCGGCTAGCTTATGCCCCAAAATAATTACACGGACACTGTATTCTTTTAATCAATGCTTGGCCCATTCTCTTCTAGGCTAATTCTCACATATTAATTTAGCCCATTTCTAATCATCTGTGTATGGCACCCCAAGGTGCGCTTACCAGGAAGATTCTAGCCTATGTCCATCCTGGGTCAGACCATCGCGTGTGTCTGCCAGGGAGCAGGGCATGGCGTCTCTGCTGAGGCGTCTGCTCCGGAGAGCAGAGCTGTGGAGTCTGAACTCACTTTCTCTTCCTCCCAGCGTCCTGTTCTGTTTACTCCTCCCACCTATCCTCTAACCAATAAAATGGGCCAGGGCAGTGCCTTTATTAGCCAATGACCTTCCTCCATCAATACCAAGTAGCAAAATCCTGCCTTGTGATCCAAGAGGAGTACACAGGCCAGGTTTGGAGTCCCTGAAGTCAGAGGTTCAGCACTGACGAAGACTCAGAAGGGACCCAAACACACAATCTGGGTACACCGTACTCATCGCCTGTGTAACGTTTACAGCTAGGTGACCACACTGGAGGTATGCTAAGTTCTCTTTCTATATTTTAAGGCAGGGTCTCATGCGTCTCTGTCTGTCCTCAAACTCAGTATACAGCCAAGAACAGGGGCTATAGAGCTTTACGTGGTGTGGGGGATAGAATCCAAGGCTTCGTGCAGGCCAAGCCCTCCGCTGAGCTACATCCCCAGCCCCTCCTGTAGTTCTGAAGAGAGAACCAAAGCTGAACACAGTTAATTATCGGAACCTGCAGCCATCTCTCTGTAGACTCAACACTTGGAATACCAGGTGATTCTAGCTTCAGGCTGTGGAGTTGCCTCTGCTCTAACCTTTGCCCTTCCGCTTTCCAAGATACTGCCAGACTAGAAAGCTTCTGAGAGAGCTTGTCTGTGGGCCTCAGACAGGCTGAGATGTGCTACCTACCCGACAGAGGAATAAGCCATACAGGCTTTCTACTCCACTTCTGCTTACCTGACAATGAAATCAAATTCGGACCCTGCAAGCATCAGCACGCCCAGCAGAGTGGACACAGCACCGTCCAGAACAGGAGCGAACATGTGCTCCAGGGCAAGCATAGCCCTGTGGTTCTTGTCACCAATGGCTGTCAGAAAGGCCTGAGCAAAGGAAGAAGGGAGACGGTCACACTCCTGGATGCACGTGGTGAAGTGCTCAGCTCTGTCTACACCTGGGTTTTATCATCTTCTCTTGTATCTCAGGTTGGTTTCAAACTCACTATTACACAAGAACGACCCTGCGCGTAATCCCCCTGGCTCCACGTCTAGAGTACTTAGGTTTACAGGTGTGTGCTACTATGCCTGGTTTATGGGGTGTTGAGGATAGAGCCTGGGGCCTCCAGCAGGTGAGGCAAGCATATTACCAACCCAGCTATAACCCCCCCACCCCAGAAGTAATTCTTAAGTTCATGTTAGGTAGGTAGAGACACTACAAAGAGACTATTCTATTGTTAAAAAAAAAATAATCGAAAATGTAGCAATAAAGCCAAAAAGATGATTTTTTAAAATGTCATGATATTAAAGAAATAAAGCATTGTTTACTAGGTCTTCTAAAGAAAAGTATTACGCATATGGGTGTATGTCTGTGTACCATGTGCTTGCCCGGTGCCCACAGAGGACAGGAAAGAGGACATGAGATCCAATGGAGCTAGAGTTACAGGTAGTTGTGAGCTTTTACTAGCTAGGCAAGTCCTCCCCCAACTGAGCTAAAGTCTCAGCCTCAGGTCTGCCTGAAATATTGGAGGCTGCATGTGTACTTGGTTTCATGACAACACCCCATTCATATTGAGCCACAGTTAGTGAAGATGCATATCTTGAACAAAACCCAAAGCATGGTGGTCCAGGCTTATAATCCCAGCAGGTAGATCTCTGGACTCTGCTGATCAGTAAGCCTAACCTACTCAGTGAATTCTAGACTAGTGAGAGACTGTCCCCCAAAATAGGGTGAATGGTGCCTCAATAAGAGTATCTGTTACCCTCCAGCCTCTCCAAGTGTGTGTGTGCGCGCGTGTACACATACTTACCTAATATACTGATTCTAAATCATCATCTTACTAATAGCCTCAAAACATTCCTTCTGAACAGCCAATCCACAACCTGTGAGTGCAATCACAGCTCTGAGAGGCTGCAGAAGGCACACACCACGTGCTCAGCTCCAAGCACATGCTGGAAAAGCAAAGCCAGCATCCCTTAGTTCCGGCTGAGAGCTGAGTTTCCAGCTCGGGCATTGCAAACACTATACCGGTCAATACGTATTTACTGAATGCCTCTATTAGCCCCAGGTACTTGAGATGTGAGCACAGCTGTAGTCAGAACGTAAACTGCACACCGCTTGCTGCAAGGCTTTTGACCAATTTTCTCATCAGTGTGGATAGCTGGCTCATTTATTGGATTCTAGCCTCTCTCTCAGGTTAATTTCTTCCAACACAGGCAGTGTGTAAAAACAGAAGGCCAAGGTCCCTGTGAAAGCGTCCCTGGTTCTTGTGTTCTGCTGCATGGATGCATCAGAGCTGGGAGGTCTACAGAGCTGGGTGGGCTGAGGTGGAAGAGCAGGCTCTGCAGGGCTGTGCACCTGAGCTCAGTCACAGGCCCCAGGGTATTTCTGCGGCTGCCAACTCACCTCACCCTCAATTACGCTATCCCCACCAGGCCTCTGAGGGTGGTCTTGTTGTATTTATCCCCACTTTATGACTGTACTTAAAACTGTGTGGATGTTCACCTAAACACACAGACTGTCTCGGGACAACAGTGACAACTCCGGGATAGGAGTGCTACTGCATCGATGTGCACAGCCCTTACAGACTGCAGTGGCGTGCAGCCCTTTTCACTCCCCGTGTATCTTATCTAGGACTCCCCAAGGGACTAAGAACCCTCAAACATTTCGGACTCTGTAGGGAGAACTGTGCTTGACATATGGGAGACGAAGGCCCAGGTTAAGAAGGCCCCATACCAAAGCCACGTGGACGGTGAACTCCACTCCGATGCCGACAGACGCGATCAGGATGACCACAGGCACAGCGCTCAGCTTGATTCCAATGAGGCCCATCATGCCGAAGAGCTCAACTGTCATCAAAGCCAGGACCATGACCTTGAAAAGGGCACGCAGCAATTAGTAAGGTGGCACCAGGTACACTAGGAGGGGCAAACCAACAATCCCAACATGGGAGCAACAATGTAACCTGTCATTGAAATACTATGGAAAAATACTGACTTCCTTTACCTCTGGACAACTTCATGTCTTATATTTCAACTTCCTACTGCAAAGGAGATGTTAGGACAACTTACTGTCCAGGCTAAAAAAACGGTTTAAGACAAAGTTTAGTGTGTGTGTGTTTGTGCGTGGTGTGTATTTGTATGTGTATGCACACACATGGAAGCTAGAACTAAAGCTGGGAGGTGTTCTCTGGAGCCTCCACTGAGACAGGTTCTCTCACTGAGACCTGGAATTTACTATCAGGCTAGCCGGGCTGGTCAGGCCTCCTCCCTCGTCACACACCGCCACACCCAGCCTGACCGAGCTATCTTGCTATCCACCAGTTTAATACTCTTTGCAAATTATTTTTCTAATATTCCTATCCTAGGAAGGGAGCACACCCTGAACCATCTATGAAGAAGTAGACCATGAGAGCCCAGCCTTTACCCATTATATTTCATCAGCAACAGTTACTAGAGACAACTCAGTAACACAATACAGGGGGTGAACGTAGGTGACTCAAATACAGTACTGCTTTAATAGACCCAAGCTGAGCCCCAGCAGTCTCTGGCACACGGGGCTCCCAGAGCCAACACCTAGGGCTACTGTGGTTCACAACAAGGCTTTAACCGTAAGCACCAGAAAGTGAGTTCATACTGCAGTATTTTTGATTGTTATAGTCTGTAACCTAAAGAAAGCAGATAGGATCGGGTGGATAAAGGTTTTTGTAGGTAAAGGAACTGTGCTTTGGTTGGAGACCAAAGGAAGAAACTGGGGACACGTGTCAGGTTACGGGGCCTTTGTGCTTTCAAGAGATAGGAACGGCTAGGGTCACAGCACAGACCCTCAGGTTTAAGGGAAGGCTTCAGAGCCTTTCATCTTCCTTGTAAAAATGAGTGCAGAACTTTGGAGTTTCTTGGGCCAAGGAGGTTCTTGTGAACCTCCCTCCCCCCACACTTCTGCCACATAGAGGAAGGAAAGAAAATGAACTTTCTCGCTTGGGGATAGGGCAGTGGGTGGTGGCAGAGGTAGGGAGGAACAGTGGAAGATGGATGCCGTCCATGGCTTAAGTGCTGCGAAGACCTCTGCAGACTAAACATTTACCTTTCATGTACCTGTTGCCCAGACTCAGCACAGAAACAAAACCTGTTTTTGTAATTCTGGCATTTTAAAGGCTATACCACAGTTCACGGAACTTAAACAATGCCAGGATTTTAGTCTCTACACGAGACTCACTTCAAATCTGAGGGTAAACTGACGATGAGAGGCAGTTCCATCTCCCCAGAGTTAGTGTTCATTGTGCACAAAGGGCCCAGGTGTCACCCCCACCCGTGCAACTGTCCTAACTTCTCTGTGCATGCTTCCCCGTAACACACTGCCACACATGGTTAGGGCTGGGATGAGGCCCTAAATAAGACTTCAGAATTAGAAAATCAGTTATGCTTTGGTTATTTTCTTTAATAAAATTTCAGTGCCTTTACGCAGTGGGCTTACAAAGTCTCCTATCTTACACGAGGACGTTTTAATGCTGTGTGAGAGGGGACAGAGATTCCGGCCATTAGGGGCTCTACCTTCCCCATGAACCTCACCACCTCAAGTAGAATAAATATCTTACAGATGATGCAATCTATACCCTCCTCCTCCAAAGGCCCAGACATAAACAAAACTTCCCGGCTGCAGAAAGAGCTATGCCAAAAGGAATCCGACTTCTATAAAGACCCTTATGGTAAACTCACAATGATCCCAGCCGTCCAGGGGTTCAGCAGGAAGACCGCGCACACTAGGAACGTGCAGGCCAGCACCACACTGATGGCTAGCAGCAGCCAGTGGCGCAGGCTGATGTATTGCTCCCAGAACAGGAAGGGGTAGCCGTTGGGGTAACTGGACAGCCCCAAGCTCGTGTAGTTCTTACAGATGATCCTCACTTTTTCGATGGCTTCCACGAAGTCTGAGGTGTCTCGTAGGCCGTTGAGGTAGAAAGGGAACTGAGCGTACTCAATAGGTTCTGCTGCTGGGACTGGACAAAGGAGAAGCGGTGTGAGTGAGGGCTCCCGGGTGAAGAGCCTCCACCACCCCAATGCCACAGATGCTGGATGTGAAATACAGAGACGGGAACTCCCCCAAAGTGCATTCATTACCCATCTTCCAACAAAACGGACAAACAATGATCTGGGCCTTTGCAACATTCAGAGTTGGTTTAAAACTTCTCACTAACAATCCGTTTGTTCTCACTGTGTGTGTACGCGCTTGTGCATTCAGGCACACGTGTGGAGGTCGGAGAGCGACCTTGGATGTCAATCTTCTCCTTCTACCTTCTTAGTCAAAAGTCTCTTGCTGCTTGCTGTGCATATTCCAGGCTGGCTGGCCCTGAAGCTTCCAGACACATTTCCCACCCCGTCTCATCTTGCCTTATGCACTGGGATTACAGATGTGCTACCACATCCAGCTTCATGTGGGTTCTGGGGATTCAAACCCAGTCCTCACGCTTGTGTGGCAAGCTCATACCCACTGAGCCGTGTCCTGAGCCCAGAACCAACCCTTTGATTTTATCAGGTGGTAGCAAAGGGGTAAGAGTGGGATGGGCAGTGGAAGGCCCTGTAATCTGTATATCTTTAAGCCTCTGATTTTATTATTCCAGAAGCAGCTACCATTTGTGAGAACTCTAAATGCCGTAGTAGGACTTAAATGTCAACCTTTCGTTTCCACGTCCAATTTGCTCTCCCTGACCATTTGTAAGACCCAAATAATCCCAGAGTCATGCCTTGCAGAAAAAGACACTTGACTTTTCTTGTCCTTTAGTGACCTGGCGACTTAAACCTTTCCCGCTTTTCTAATGCAATGCTAAGTCTTCAGCAAGAGGGGAAGAAATCCTCACACAACAAGCATTTAGTTACTGCCCTGTGTGTTCCACACCCTTTGGGGTCATTCAGTTGACTTGCTAAACATGATTTGCCCCTATTATAATCTCAACTATAAATTTTCATTAAGACAGGCCTTGGCTGCTTGCCACCAGTCTCTGGGGGTTAGTACAGGGGAGTTCAGAGAGCTGCCTGCCCCGTTTGCAAAGGGACCCGTCTTCTTTCTCATGTCTTCTCTTGGCCCCACACCCAAAGCCTACGCTGCTACTAACATCTCTAACATAAATGCAGGCTAAATCCACACAGAGCCACCTTTCAAACCCTGGGCTTAGGGGTGAAGGGAAGAGGAGAACACTGATGTATACAGACTTTCCTTGTCCAGTTTAAACAGCTCTGACAGAGCACAGGTGCTTGGTGGCTTATAGAAATGACCCAACATGCCAAAAATCCCTTCAACACCAGAGTTGACAAAGTTAAGATAAACATATAATCCCTAGCGATAAAACTCGGCAATAGTAAAATAACACTCAGCATGGAGGCGTCCCCCACTTTCACATGGACCAGCTGGCATCACGAGAAACGCCTGGCGTTCGAGCTACAAAAGGAGGTTAGAAACGCTTATTTCTCAAAGTGAGAGTACAGGGCTGTATTCCATTACACACCCTCATCTGTCTCCCGGAGTTTTAAACTAAGAGAAATATATTGTTCTATTTACACTTTTGAACCCTGGGTAGTGTCAGTGAAGGAGGCTGTTGCTGAGCTCCAGGCAGCAGCGAAAGGAGCCTCTGAGAAAGCCCAGCCTCTCTGGACAGACGGCTACTTACTCCTCAGCCTGGTCTCCGGCATGTAGTCGGCTTTGTCGTGGACCCACTCTGGTCGGTGAGGCCGGATGTTGGCCTGCGAGGCGGCATAAGCCACGGGGTCGTTGCTGACCCAGGCCGTCAGGTAGATGTAGAAAGCGCTGGGATTAATGATGCCATCTGCATCCACCAGACGCTGTTTAGTCAGCTACAAAACGGGAAGAACAGAGGTCATTCAGAGTGGGCTGTGGGGTAAAACACACTCCTGCTGGGAGACCAGAGCTTTGTACCCACTTTTCCAACAAACAGCAGAATACCCATGGCTTGACAGTGCCCCAAGTCCCACAAGAATACCTTTGATGTCTTTCAAAATGCACTTATTGGGGGATGCAATCACCAGTGTGTTTACAGCAAACACACGGTTCTGCAGATGGCCCAGGAATTGGCTGAACCAATTAAATCTGAATGCTAAAAGAGACTGTCTGCAGCCAAGACGGGTAAAGAACAATCTGGAAAAACATATTTATAGGAGGGGCGGGGAGGGGGGGGAACCTGGCAAGCATCCCCATCCACGTCTGTGTGTAGTTAACCTCTGTTGTTAACACTGAAGGAAATACCACCCAGTAAATGCAGGGGCTATAAAATAAAACAACATCTGTATAAATTTTGCTAACACAGCCTCCGATGACCTGCACGTTCAAAAAATGCCCACTGCCAGAGAGGGGAAGACAATGATGCAAAGCCAGGGCCTCTCTGAGTAATCTCACTTCTGAGCCCTGGTCAGATTCAGGGGCCACATATGCTCCCACAGTAGATCTTGTGGGCTTTACTCGAGTCAAAGACACTATGAGACGAAGTGCGGATTATAAATATGGTAGATACACCGAAAAAAAAAATTTCCTGTTTACTTTAGGTCCAGGCCTCCTTCCAACGTTCGGTCTTTTTTAACAAAATGAAAATCACCAGTGACAGCAGCTCACAGAGAAAGAGTGTGGAGGAATAAAGAGCGTGGAAGAGAGGGAGAGACGTAGACGGCAGGGATCTGGATTCAATTAATCCACGGGATCGCTAACAACTGTAGGTCCTCAGACTGTCTCTGGAATTACATAGCACAGCTCCTGGCCTCCGTGCACGCGGCATGCTCTTCTTTCTCCCGGGAGAGGAAATGGTATCTTGGTGCCTGGCCCCACCACAGGCATCCCACAGACTCCCTGATCCCTAAGTCCAATTCAGTATGTCTCTGCTATCCTGTCAGGCAGGCTGGTCTGCCATACCCTTGTCAGACCCGACAGCCTGTTGCATGCCACTATAAAGCACCAAACCTCACACTCCACAATGACTGAACCATGTACTTTGTAAATCTGTCGCCTTTAGCGCCAGCAAAAGGGAGAAGATAGTATACAGGGCTGCCGAGATGATTAACACGACAGTTTCTGCCCAAAGACAGAGAAAGCAAACTACTACCCACAAAGAGTCCTAGAACTCACTCCAAATCCAGGGTGCAAATGTACCCCTGAACATGCCTGAGGAAACCAAATATGCTAGAGTCCAGGTGCTTCAGATACAGAATACTATCAAAGGGAAGAGCTTTCACTCCTGAGGGCTGAGCAAGGTGGGCAGTGTGCGTACCCGTCTGCTATGTTCAGACCACAGCAAGCTGCCTGTACTCACCATCTACTCTTGGGCCCAAGTGACTTCTCTGATCTCCTAAGCTGCCCACCCACCCAACCACAAATCCATTATTGTCCCCTGTCTGAATACACCATACTGATGAGCATTACAGGAAGAGTCACTGGGAAAAGCCTGCACTGTCAACACCATCATCGCTATGGCGTCCGTCCCCTCTCTTGACAAAAAGGGAAAGGGAAGCCTTCTGGCCGGCTTGGGGTCACACAGTTACCACCTCCTATCATTTCAGGTCCTCACGGAACAACCAGGGAATGCCACCCCGCCAGCCCAGTTTCCGCAGGTCAGCTGCCCAGAGGTTGTTCACAGTGGAACAGTGGGATACCTGACTGATGTCGATGGGCTTGTCTCGGCTGCCGGTCTGCACCAGGAGCTTGTAGGCGAGGACCCCATCGTCCGACCCATTTTTGTAATTGTTTGGCATGATCCTCCCAGTTTCCCAGTCACTGTCAAAGGCATCCTGAAGTCCTGTGAACAGCAAACGCGTACAACACATTAAAGCCTGGACCAAGAAAGAGGGCCTGGTTCTGAGGGATTACGCTGAGGACAGCAGGCAGGGCAGGGGCCCCATCTGCAGCTTTCTCTCAATTAAGAAAGGACTGCTGTGCTAACCAATCGCTGCTAGGGGGACAAGAAAACACATGGTTTACTCAAACTAAGGAGCGAAAGTCCAAGAGATGGATAGATGGCTCAGGGCCCTTGCTGTTCTTCTAGGGAATCCGAGTTCAGATCCCAGAACCCACTTTGGAGGGAATACAACTGCCTGAAACTCCAACGGCAATGCCTTTTATTGTGCATGTATGCGCACGCGCGCACACACACACACACACACACACACACACACACACAGAAAGGGGAAGTGGAATGGTAGCACAAGCCTTTAATTTAATCCCAGCACTTAGGAAGCATAGATGGCGGATCTTTGTGAGTTCAAGGCCAGCCTGGTCTACATAGTTGAGATCCAGGACAGCCAGAGCTACATAAAGTAACCCTGTTTTAAGAAAGGAAAGGAAAGGAAAGGAAAGGAAAGGAAAGGAAAGGAAAGGAAAGTCCCCCTTTTTTTTCCAGACAAGGTCTCACTGTGTATCCATCCTTGCCTGCCTTGGCCTATACCTCAACCTCACTATGTAGATGAGGCTGGCCTGGAACTAACAGAAATCCACCTGCCTCTGCCTCCCAAGTGCTGGCATGAAAGGTGCACACCACCATGGCTATAGCTCAACTCTTTTTTTTTTTCCTTTTAACTTCATGACTATTCCATCAAGCAGCAAGGGAGAAGAGAAAGACACACACTACATCCATTAACCATTTCATGCCACACAGGGAGCTACGTCAGGGGTTCCCCAACAGGACCAGAAGTTCTACCGAGAGCAGTAAAATCCCATTCAAGCTCCCAACCTCCAACTGCAGCTTGGCTGCCCCTGGAGCCTGGGCGAGCAAACACGGCTCTGACAATCTGATCCATCTGTTTGACTTGTGTAGCTAATACAAGCTGTGGGTTCTGCTGCCAGGTTGTGTAAAGATCACAGCCAACACCTATTCACTCTCCTCCTGTTCTCTTCCTCTCTGCCACCCTTCCATGGGGAGGGGTATGTGGGGGGAGAAGGAACACGGGGAAATACCTCAGGGCGAATTTGGATCTGTTTGAGAACAGGAAGCCACAGGCCAATACAAGGAGGCTCTATGAGAACAGATGACAAACCGCAAGCCCTGGGAGGGGAGGAAAAGAGCTTTCTGGGCTTGGGGGATGGGGAGCCCACCAGCTCACCACACACAGCTGGGCTTGGCCTCTGTAATCAAAACCATCATTACAGACCTGACACTTTGGCTACAGCTGTAAAGAGATAAGCGTGTTGGACTAGAAAACAGGGCCCTGGTGACCCAGCCTTAGGGTCTAAGCACTGCCTGGAGGGCTCTCTCCCCAACATCCCCACCAGCCCCCTCCCCAGTAGACCCCTAAGTCCCAGGTGCTCAGAAGAGCCCTGTCTGTGCCTGCTGTGTCAGATACATCTGCTTAGAGAGATGTGTTTTACTTCATTTCAGGACAGGACTAGGGGGACTTCAAAGACAAAACACAAATTAAACAACAAAAATATATGCTCTGTGAATGCTTAGCATGGTGAGGCGTTTGGAGTTGGGGAGTGGGAGGAAGTAGGGATGCCCATAAAACAAAAGCTCCCCTCCAACATTATTATGATGTGGGCATTGTCTCCAGGATGTAGGCTGGGTCACCCGTGGGCCTCGTACTTCAGGGGCAGGGGCAGGCAGACAGAGGGACCACCAGCGTGGAAATCTCCAGTCTCAGACAGACTTTTTCACAGTAAGGTTCGCACAGGCAGCAGTGAGCAGATGTTATTTTATGATCCAAAGTCCTTCCCCACCCCCATCCTGGAAAAAAAATAAACAGAGAGGGAGGACCAACCACTCCCCAACCCCCTATGAGGGGCCTGCTCTGTTTGCCAAGCTAGGAGAGAGGAGAGCTTTTATGACTCCAGACTTGCAGGGCTCAGTGCTCAAGGGCTACCAAGGGCTATCCAGGCATCCACCTTCCTTAGCATTCAGTTCTAGAGCTCATCTCCTGAGGAGCCAATTAGCATCACCATCCCCACCCTACAGATGAGAGGACTGAGGTCTGCAAAGGTTAAAGGGTTAGAGCTAAGCTTTGAGCCCAGGCAGCGCAGAGCCAGCATCCACACTGAGAGAAACCCACACTGAGAGCAGCGTGCTGTTCACACAGAGAGACTTCTGCACTATCTAGGGACCCTGCAGCCAAGGCAGAACACGTTATGGAAAGCCACGCTGAGAGCAGTGTGCTGTTCACACAGAGAGACTTCTGCACTATCTAGGGATCCTGCAGCCAAGGCAGAACACGTTTCCTGCAATGTTGGCCCCAATGCAGTCTACAGTTACTGACTTCACGAATAGTTGAGTTCTTTCACAACTAGTTCAGTATTTTTGACTAACCACTGAAAATCTCAACTACCATGAGCTGGACACCACACACGTGCCCCTTGGCTGACATTTACATTCCAAAAGTTTATAGCAGAACCTTGTATTTATTTCAGCTTCAGTTCTTACTAGAAACATTTGACAGTCTGGGCTACAGGAATTACCCAAACATACAAGCCCCTAGAAGTGAAAGGATCATCTACTTTGTCCACGTAACTCAGTGTGAATTAAAAACGCCACCTGCACATGGCGCACAGATTTCAACTCTAACTTCCTTCACCTCCTTATGTGGATGTTCACGGTTGTCCTATGGGCTGGGGATAGACCTCAAAGGGAGAGTGCTGCCCTGGGTTCTACGTCAGAACTGACTTTCAAAATGGCATGAGATAATCCCTAGATAAGCCATTAAATATTTTTCTAGGAGTGAAAATACAGAGTACCTATTGGAGTGTTGACCAAAGCCAGTGAGACGGTACAGCTGAATGGACTTCAACACGACATACAAGTCTCTGGAAGAAACGTCGCTGTGAGAATAACTGTTTCCTCCAAGGAAATATTCAGGGACCTGAGCAAACACTCAGCAGGTCTGAAAAACGCCTCAGCAGCCAAGAGCCCTCCTGTCTGTGAGCAGCGCTCTGGACCCTGAAGGACCCACTGAGGCATCACAGCTCCTGCAGGGCTGTGGGATTCTGACGTGTACCAGTCTGGCTGGGTGCTGCTTGCTTAGTAACCAAACTGTAGTTCAAGTTACAGATATCTATGCATATGAATGTTTTGGGTCTTAATAGAGTTGGTCTTTAATACTGTCTAAGAAGACACCCTTCCCAGCCCCAGCCTACCTCACCAAAGGGGAGTCCCTGGCTGAAGACACTGGAGAGCTCCTTCTGCAACATGCTCCTCTACCCAGCACAGCAGACCTCTTTGTCATTTGTGGCAAGTTATTTGCATGTCTTTGGTCAATGTGTACGTGGGGGGGGGGGTGTGAAAAGCAGAGACTCTGGCAACTGTTTGGCTCTTTGTTAATTCACTACTTAAAAAAAAAATAACGCATGGAGAACCGAGTGTAAGGAAATAAAACTTGGGGCGAATTCAAGTCAATCTCCAGGGCTTCCTGATGCTTTCTCCACCTTCCCCCAAAGTGGGACCTGGCACGTGTGTACGAGCAAATTCTAGTCACTGCTCAACACTGATTCCTGTTGGATCAAGCTGTTTATCACCTAGTGCAGACTTATAGGGGAAACTGGCTGCCTGATCTTTACATGCAAGAGTACTGACTTAAGACAAAAAGGGCACTTAAATATGTGTTTAAATAAGCCTAATTAAGTGGGAAATTAAGACAGCCACCGAGATAATCTAAGCCAACAAATGCTGGAGTTGCAATTATTTGGGTGCTCCAATAAAAGCACTTTTGCTTGGATTGTGTGGATAATGGTCCTGATTGTCTACTGCGCCCTGCCCATGTCAACATTAACAGATGTTCTGGGAACCAGTCAGCAGTTAAGAGCAAATTCAGTCCGCCTTACACTTCTCTCCAGCCTACTAACAGTACTTCCTAGAGATGCGCCTGAGAGGGTTAAAGGCGCTTGATCTGAGTTCGATCCCCAGGTCCCACATGGTGGGAAGAGGACAGCTGTCTTCTGACCTCAATATGCACACTATGGTGTATGTACACGGACATACTCACACACAATCTATAGGTAAAACGAAGGGAGGGAGGAGGAAGAAGAAGCAGGATTTGCCTCTCCATGAGACAGCAGGATGTGGGTAAGCATTTCTAAGTTCACCGCCAAATGAAAGGATGGTTGGTACGGAGCTCTTTGAAGACAGCAGTGTCAAAGGTCAGTGTGAAACACACAACCACTTCAGTGTCAGACGCTGACACAGGGAAGGCCTGGTAGGAGTGAGCGATCTTTACACTTTCCACTCTGATTCGCTAGGGACCCAAATTAAATAAGTACAAATAAAAGATGTCCAAAATATGCAATAGCTGCCCCAACCCACTGTTACAGTAGGCTGTAATTTAACAGACAGACAGCTCCGAAATCCCACCAAAGACTCCAGTTTCACTTGGTCACCAAAGTAGCCACCATCCAAAAGGAATAGGAGCAATAGACCTCCAGGCTCCCTGTTTTCTAATGTCTTTCTCCAGTGTGTGTTCACAAAAGTGTCAACAGAAGGGCTGTTACTCACATAGTTGTAAGTTGTTAAAGCCAGAGCTGGGAGACTGCCACTGAAGGGGGCTTTCTACAAAACAGGCTGGAGAGGCCCTCAGGAACTAAGAGCATTTGTTACTCTTGCAGAGGACCTGGGCTCGATTCCCAGAACCCACACCTCCAGTCCCAATGCCCTCTTCTGGCCTCAGGGACCAGATACACACATGATGCACACACATACATGCAACACACACACATGTAAGATAAAGCTGCTTCATTATGATGGAATACTTTCATACGGTGGACAGAAGGCAATCACTGTCTGGGAGCCTGGGGCACAGCAGGTGAACGGTGGCGGCCTGCCGTAAACCTACCTTGGAGCCAGTCTCTGAAGTAGTGCAGCCACATTTGGGGAAGTTGCTTGTTCTCCTCCAGCATGACATACTTCACATTGCTGAAACTCTTATGAAGGTCGTAAAGTAGGTGCTGGATGTTGGGGTAGTCTGCTTTCTGGGTGACTATGTACATGTTGTAGAAAGAAAAGTATTTGAACTGCGCAGCTATAAAGTCATATTCTCTGGTTTCCCGAGGGACAATGTCCGTGAGGTCCAGTCCATCTCTCACTCGGGTGGTCCCATAAAGGCTGACCCCCAGCAAGCCCAGGAAGAGGAGGATCACCACCACCTGCAACAGAGGGAAGGGCACTGGATGAGATCCAGAAACACATTCCTGATTCCTCCAATACCAGCACCAACTGCTTCCTTCACTCCACATAAACAGCCCAGTCTCCCAGAGGAGAAAACAAACCACACTAAATCACCTTTTTAAGTAATCTCACAAAAAATGAAAATATATATAAAGCAAGGGACACATTTATACTCATAGTACTATCTGTTTCACAGAGCCTCCCCATGTAGGAGTTGGCTCATTAGAGGGGCCCTGAGGTTTGCAATCTGATGCTGGCGGGCCTGTCCTGAGCGCACACGAACATGATGATGATGGATCCCAAAGGTGCCAACAGTTCACATATTTCTCTTCCAGGCAGGAAGCCACACACGGTGAAAGGTTACCTTGGCTTTGGGTTTCAAGAGGAAAGGAGCGTAGTGCTTCTCAGCAAACGAAGACAGCGTCCACTTGGTGCAGGGGGGCTCGAGGCAGTGAAGGCTGGAGTCTGAGAACTGGGAAAGCAGGTCCCGGGTGGAACTGGTGCTCTCTGGGCTCTGACAGCTGAGGGTGTCCTGGGTGACGGTGACAGGCTGCACGGAGATCTCGGATCGGGGCTCGGCGGTAGTGTAGTACACGTGAGTGTGAGGGTCGTACTCCGTGCGGAGCTGGACGGTGGACTGCATGGTGATGTGGGTCTCGTGAGCAAAGCTATGGCTGCTGTAGGGCGGTGGTGGGCTGTAACGGGTGTTGCTGTGAGGCTCGGTGTAGGCCTGTGGTTCAACCTGAATCACCCTGCTTACACAGGGGCTGAAAGAGAAGAAGGAAACACACCGTAGTGTGTGGTCATGAGGGAGAGAAGGGGCTTTCACGTCTGCTGAGCACCGATGCTGGCCACTGACACCACAATCTGTTTCTCTGAAAGCATCACCTGACTCCTTTGGACACAGATGTAATCCGGTCTAAAACAAAGGCATAGTTGACCCTGAAATAGCAGAACTCCAAAGATCTAAAAAAACTAAAAACAAAATCTATCACCCTGTGTTTCTTTTTTTTTTAATATTTATTTATTTATTATATATACAATATTCTGTCTGTGCATGTCTGCAGGCCAGAAGAGGGCATCAGACCTCTTTAGAGATGGTTGTGAGCCACCATGTGGTTGCCGGGAATTGAACTCAGGATCTTTGGAAGAGCAGGCAATGCTCTTAACCACTGAGCCATCTCTCCAGCCCCCAAGAATCACCCTGTGTTTCTACACAAGTGTTTTTCAGCATTCCTCTGCTCCACAGAGCTACCAAACAGTTCCAAACAAACAGGTTCACGATGGAAGAAAACACCACAACTGGCAGAATCTCTAAGGAGGTTTCTGGGCATAATCAGTTTGGGGAGGAGGAAAGTGTGACAGTTCACACGTGCTGAAGAGTCCTCTGTCTGCCCTTTCCTGTCCCCATCACACCAGCCCACACAGTTAGCTACATCCCCTTCAGACTCTAAACAGTCTTTCTAAGCCCAGTAGAGGCCCCAGGACCCTGAAAACATACATACCTGGTAAAACAGCAGAAAATATCCAATCTCCTGTCCTCTCGTCTATATAAATCCATGCTGAGAATTGCTGGGAAAATGAGCAGCACCATGGCAAAATTGAACACCACCACCACGGCAGCCTGGAGCAGAAATGCAATTGAAGTCATCAATACACCTCCCAGTTAGCACGGTGCTTCATAAGCAAGTGTGTACCATGTGCATGCAATGCTCACAAATGCCAGAAGAGGGAGTCAGATCCCTGGGGCTGGAGTTACAAGCAACTGTGAGCTGACACGTGGGTGCTGGGAGGAGAACTTGGGCCCTCTGAAGAGCAGACAGGGCTCTTAACCACTGAATCATCTCCCCAGGACCCCACACAAACACATTCTGGATATTAATCTCTCAACAACTTGCTGCTACCTAGAGAAGCAGAGCTACCAGACAGTGCATGGTCTCCCTCTTCTCTCCCCACCACTAAGACGCTGTGTATAACTGAAATGGAAGAAACCCAGAATTTATACAGGCTAGAATGAAACCATTACCGACTTACTAACCTAACCAGATCACATCTACAAAGCCAGGCAAAGAAAAGACTTGAGAAGTTTTACCTCAAAACAAAAAGAAGTATTTTCCTTCTAGAACGTTTCTAAGAGTTTCCACAACCCTGATTAATAATCTGTATATAAAGTAGATCAAGTCTAGCAACATGTCACCTTTAAAACATGAAATAAAATTTCACACATGTCCCCTGAGGTTTTTAATAGGCACGTTCCAAATAGCCTCGGGAGCAGCTTGTGGGAGCAACAGCCAAGGTCAAGGAGAGTTAAGCAGAAAGAAATTCCTGTGTGTGATTATAGTCTGTAGAATAAATAAGTATGGATTCAAAAGCCACTCTATAACCTAGAATAAACACAGGGTTAGGTTCTGCAGTACTTGGGCAAATCTCCTGCTGACCTAGTAAAAATTGCAAAATTGGGCTGTTATTAGGCAAAGTCCACAGGGTATCCAAATGCAGTCCTTGTTCTGAGAAGTGGACAAAAAGCAGAAAAAAGGAACTGGGAGGGGATGCTAAATAGCCAAGAAATAACCAGAAATTCATTTAAGAAGTAAAATCTCCTAGTACAGTTCTCAAAGGATAGTTTCTGAGACCGTCTCAAAACAGGAAGATGGGCTGGGGCGAGGAAAGGAAGCCTGGCCATCATTGGTACCAAGAATTAAAAACCAGGAGACACTTCACAAAGGGCTTTTTGAAGGGAGTGTAGGTTTATGCTCCAGGTGGAACAGCGAGCTGGAGGAGATGCCCTTCAATAAACAGCCAAGTCTTCTACATCACACCAACTCTTTCCTGAGTCGATTTTCAAAGGATCTTGTCAACAGAACAGGTTAACCAGGGCTTAAATGTGTTTCCTTATAAAGCAGCATGTATGTGTGACAAGCTCCTGTCACAGCTGTGACGGGAGACGCTATCTAGGATCTGCATCCCTTCTCTGTGAAGTCTAATCTGTGCTGGGTGCTGGAGAAGCCAAGAGAGCAAAGACAAACCTTGCCCTCAGAGCCACAAACCAATCGGATCCAAGGCTGAATGAGAGGTGCCATTTTAAAAGGCAGGTCCTCAGCAGCTCAGGCGGTGAGCGCTTGTGTGTTGGGGTGGACAGAGTGGCTGGTCCAAGAAGGCTTCCTGAGAAAGGTTTTGAAGATGAAGATGAGGTCCAGGAGGGACAAGAAAGAGACAAGGCAATAGAGGAACTCCTGACTCAAACCACTCAGTCCTGAGACAGGTGATGGGAGGTCAGGCTGTCCACAGGCACCCACTGTGTTCCTACAGTAACCAGGATGTAGCCAGTTGGCCACAGACAACCAATTACCTAGAAAGACGGGCTTCCCAGTCTTTCAGATTCAAATGGAGGTGTGATGCAAAGTCCTCATCTTAACTGGTTTGGATGCTCTTGCTGGGGCTGGTGACTCCTGAAAGGGCATACTCACACTAAGTGTGGACCACTGACCAATTAGATGCAGGGAATTCTGGGAAGACTAAGAATAGAGATTTTCCATGCCATCGGTCATGCCTTGGCTGAATCCTATTAGCCTTTTTAATTCCAGCCATGTTTACAGCTCAGGAGTAGAATGCAGAGATAAGTCCTAGGCATCTCTCAAGAGTGAGGGCAGAGACTCCTGAGCCACTAAGGCTCACAAGGGCACAGGGAGCAGGTGTAGCCACGGCAACACTCATCAAAAAAAAAGTCTGACAGGCAGCTATCTTTGCTCACTCAGATGAAAGCAGAGGGATGAGAGCCCACAGCAATGCCCCTTCTAACCTATTTTTTGACAATGTGTTACGTATTTAGAGGAAACCATTTTCTGCAAAGAAAACAAATGCCAACATCCCCCATGGGTGTCAAAAACTTAAAAGTAACTAGCAAGAATTTCTCAAGACAGAGTCATCTCCGCAAAAGAAGACAAAACCTTAGAAACAACAAAAAGAAATTGTAAGTAAGACAGAGAATCGATGGAAACAATCTTGGCTGTGGATTGAATCCAGCTACTTTGCTTGAAGATGCTGCCCCACCCCCGAAGCACCTGCAGTGGCCCTGCTGAGACACCTGTGGCAGGATCCTAACCTAAAACCTTTTACTGGCTTAAGAGTGGTTCACTGGTAGACTATTTCTTTGTGGGGTCCTGAATTAAAATCCCACTGCCACAGACAGAAGGGGTGGGGCATAGAGAGAATGCTCAGTGGGTAAGGGTAGCACTCTGAAAACCTGAGGACCCGATTTCAAAGTCTGCTGTGTAACAGTTTCCTCCAGAACTGAAACATTCTATCAAAGAGCTATCAAAGTCCCTGAAACTGAAAGTATCAGATCCACTAGGCCCCCTCCCTGCCCAAGCGAGCAGAGCCAAGCTGCAAAGAAGACCCTGAGATCAAATCAGCTGTGTGGAAGAGGCAGAGGTTTAGACTAGGAGTCATCTGTAAAGGACACAGCCAAACCTGCTGAGCTGCCTGCAGGCTGTGCAGTGGGCTTCAGGTTCCTAGCTTTGTGAGCTGTTACCCATGCTGGGGTGGGCTCTGGTGACGTAGCTGTCTGCTCCTGTAAGTAACCCCTCTCTGATACTCCTGCAAGTAGCAATCATTGGTTCACCAAGCTGGACTTTGGTGGTCTCTGTGCTCTGGTCTGTGTCACAGGTTCCCTGTGTGGTGTGAGTGGACACGCATGTGCTGCACTGCCCCAGGAAAAGCTTTTTCACACAACCAGTTCCCAGTATCCACATAAAAAGTTAAATACGGCTTCCACTTCCTGTAATCCCAGCATTGGGATGGAGCTTCCTGGTCATCCAGCCCAATGGCTGATAAGCTTTGGTTCGGTGAGACAGCAAAGGAGGAAGACACCTGATGTCCTGCTCTGGCACCTGTGTGTGAGCCTACACACCCATATGCTCACAGTCACATACGGGGGGGGGGGGGGGGGGAATGACACAAAATAATGAACATTTAAAGCAAACCTTTATCATTAGAAGGAGTAAGGGTCTTGCTCTTGTGGGGGGAGGGGGTTCACTGAGGAACAACACTACAATGAAGGCTGACCAGAAGACAAGCTATTTCTTTGAGGGAAGGAATGCTACTATTTTGGTCGGGGGGGGGGGGGAGGGGGGGACGAAGTTTCATAAGGAAAAAAATCCAAATGTCACAGTGGTTTATTATGGCACAGAACTCTCTGGGCCCCCTCTCTCTGGATACTCTTGGTGGCTACAGGTGACAGACGCACATACACAAAGAAACATAAAGTACTCATTTCGGCCCTGTAAAGGTGCTTACCTTGGGAGAACTTAGCGCACTGGATTTCCTAAAAGGCTTTTCTATCCTCAGGGAGAGACCACACCGTGGGGTGTCATTAGGGGAGGAGAGTTTGCCTTGAGGAACCACCAGTACTGAGAGGAGAGGAGAGCCAAGAGTGAGGGAAAGAAAAGGAGCGAGCGAGCGAGCTGCCGCAGAGCTGACGGAGCAGAGCTAGGCGGGCACAGCGAGGGAACAGGTGCAAGCGAGCTGACGTGGAGCAGAGCAGAGCGAGGCGGACAGCGAGGGGACAGGGAGTGGGAGAGAGAGCAAGAGCAGAAGGCTTCATACTGCAGACTCCAGAAGCAGCTCTATTCCAGAATCAGCCGCACACGATCGAGAGTAGACACAAGAAGAGCGTGTAGCAGATGCATGCCTGTGCCAACTGCTTCCTGAAACCAAGGCCATGCATTTCTTCCCTTATCTTTTCCATTACGAACCCTTGGTTATTTCCATTTCCTTGCAGCTCTGTCCAGTTTCAGATTCGACTTTACTTATGAACCCCTGTTACCTTTTTTCCCATAGACGTTTATAACGCCAGGCCTCTTCCTGGTATCTTTTTTTTTCTTCCTCGGGAGTTGGTGCTTGTGACTGACAGAGAACTTCTCTCAGTCTCGGATCTTAGACTAACTGTTAGGGAGGCCTTGCACCTCACCCCCCGCAGGGTCTCTACTGGTAGCGAGATGAAGCTCAAATACCCAGGGGACCATTTCTACTTAAGTGACAAATGTGTATTTAAAGAGTATAAATAGGGACACAATGTATCATCTGTCACCTTCTCTTCCCATGATCAGCACCTGGTGATGAGCAGAGCCCATGAAAGAGTACAAACTTGACAACAGTTTCACACAAGGACATCAAAGAGGCTTCCTCCAGGCAGCTGGCCACCTCATAAGTTTCCTTAAGACAGCCTAGTCTAAGAAGAAGAGAGACAAATGCTCCCTTCAGCCGAAGCTTCAAAACTTGAAATTAATTCAAGAAACTTCTACCATGTCATGAACTACCCAAAAACCTGCTGCTCTGGTTGCTTCAGACTTTCTATGAACTACGACTACTAGGTCTAGCCCAGGGAATAGACTCTTCAGGCTGACAGCCTGGGTATGGGAGGGCCTGGTTGGGAGGAGGCTGTCAGAGTAACGAGGCCTGCAACACAGGTTTTGCACACACAGTGAGCAGCAGGCAATCTAAGCTTGCTTAAGCAGCCGGAGAAGGGAACAAGGAACCACAGAGGACAGGACAGAAATGCAGAGGCCAACAAGGAAAAGGCGGCAGGACACAAGGATCCCCAAGAGATAACCCTTGCAGGACATAGCCAAGTGGCCAACATACTCTCATATAGTGTGACGGTCACTGCCTGCCAGCAACCCTAGCTGCATACTCCAGTGGAGTCTTTTACAGCCTTGAGGTGGGGCTGTTGAGGGAGGGGAGATATGAGGTGACTGGAAGGGGGTAGTCTAGAAAGAGGAGTCAGCCAAGGAGGACTTCGGGGAACATCCCTGGGCCTGCTGGCCTACACAGCACAACTCCACAAGTGAACAGCTCCTGGATGACAAGGTGTAAGAAAGCAAAGAGCCCCAGCACTTGACCTGCGAGGAGTACCAGGTCATGCCTTGAAGCACCTACCCAGCAGCACCATGGCCCAAATGCTGTTGGCATGCACTTGATCTGCAAAATCAGCGCTAGACTCAAGTGAAGCAGAGAGGAGACACTAACCAGACAAGCCACAGGGACCTGCCCACTGTAAACTCACCTGGAGGGAGAATGCTCGCAGTGCAGGAATAGGGATTAAGGCAGCCATGAAGAAGGCGGTGACGTTGCTGATGGAGGTGAGGGCCACGCTGGCTCCTGTGCGCTTCAGGCACTCCCCGGTCCTGTCCTGAGGAAGACAAACCACAGTACTGAGGGCTGCCTCTGAACTAGCTCCCCCCCTTAGAGGATGTGGTGGCGCTTTCTAGGATTGGCTGTTCTGGGTCTGAGGAACCTCCAGCACCAGGTTCTGCTGATGTCTCCTTCAACGTCATGTGTTCCTCACAGTTACCATCACCCGAATGGGAAAGTCGAAGACAATGATGACTTAATGCAAACCCGTAGCCAAAGAAAACCACAGAAACAACCTTGGGCTTTGAGAAGAGATGGCACAGGAGCATGTGGCACAATGCTAAGACCCCCACATTTCCATGGGCACCCTAAATGGGGCTCTTGGCGTTTCTCAGAGTGACGTGTCATTTGACTTGAGACTGACCAGACAGCAGAAAAACTACAGGACAAATGCCAAGGAAGAGAGTGGGCTCTGAGAGTCCCCCCCCAGACATCCTTCTTTCCTCCGACTGTTACCTCAAACGGGATCCTTTTATTTTGTCCTGTTTCACTGAAGGCGTGTGCCAAGAGGAAGACGTCGTCCACACCGACACCAAGAGCAAGAAATGGCAAAACCTACAGCAAACACAGGCAACCACAGCATTAGCCAGGGAAAACTTCACAGGGAAACATGGCTGCCAGTGCCCCACAGGTGCCAAAGGGGCGCTCAGGCCAGTTTGGTGGACAACATACTTATCCGGAAGTCTGCATCCCTAAAACCTTTCAGTTATGACTCAGAGATGTTCTCACAAGCTTCTTTCTAAGGTCTAGGTACAATAACTTAACCTAGAAGTAAAAATGAAAAGCCAGCTAACTCGTATCTAAAGCTGTGGTTCCTAGTGATCCCCAGTCCAGCATCAGTGCGAAAAACTGAAAATATAAGACAGTACCTCCATATAGACCGGGTCCAGCCATCTTTGTGTTCTCAGTGTGATTCTAATGCTTACTGGAGTTTAAGAACCAGTAAATTATATACGCTATTCTAAGTGAATGTCTCTACCTACCAAGAGCATCTCTGAACTAAAAAAAAAAGTACGAATGTGTATCTGTGTTATATGCACATGGTGTGTGTGCGTGCGTGCGTGCGCCACACAGCCCACTGTACAAAGGTCAGAAGACAATTCTGTAGCCTGTTCTCTCTTTCCACCTCTTATATGGGCTCTAGAGATGGAACTCAGATGGCCAAATTTGCATAGTAGGCACCTTTACCTACTGAACCATTTTTAGCCCACAGAACGGACTGGCCCAGTGGGAACCAGCCCTCCTGAGATAAATGGCATCCTCATGGAAAAGGCTTTGCAGATTCTTTAGGTGAGATAGACACACAGGGGGCCGGCACGCTGGGCAAAGTGTTGGTCAGAGGGCAGCGATGAACGGTCCCTGCAGTACCTGAGTTGTTGCAGCGTTAAAGGAAATCCCGATCAAGGAGCAGAGGCCCAATCCTGCAGCCACTGACAGTGCAACCAACAGGACGCCAGCCAGCCCCACGGCACCCTGGGACTTGGAGCAGTCCCAGCGCAGCATGGTTAAACAGGCATAGGCAAGCTGCAAGCAGAACAACAGGGGAGGGGGGCGGAGGGGAATGGAGAGAGAAGGTGGGGGAAAGACACAAAACAAGAGCCAAACATTAGAATGTGTAGGGATTCTAATGTTTTCCCCCTCCCATTGCCCCACATCCAAAGGTAGAACCTATTAACTCCAACAAATAAATCTTACACTACAAACATCACACAACAAGGCTGAGCTGTCCCTGTCTTGGGTGTCCTTGGGGGTGTACTTGTACGTTAGGGGCAGCAGCTAAAAAGCAGGTGCCGTCACAGAAAAGTAAAGAGCTAAAATTCCAAAACAAACAAGCTCAAACCAAGTTGACCACCCCACCCTGGGGGAGCCCAGAATTACCATCAGTAGGTAGCCACTGGCCACACGGATGACACTGACGTCAGAGAAGGATTTTAGGATGTCGTCCAGCGTAGTGGTGGTGAAGGAAAGCACCTTCTGCGTGGAGTTTGGGGCAACGCTTTGATGAACCACCTGAGGTCACAAAACAAGGGGCTAAATTCCCGAAAGGAACTAAAGCATCAACATGCTTCACCAGCACAGACCTTGGGGGAACACCACCGTGCACCCTATACTGTTTGCTGATACTTCACAAGGTCCCATGTGACCTTAAGTGGTCAGAGGAGGAGGGAAGAGGAACCTCCCTCTACAGTGGGTTACAGGGATCAAGGGAGAGCAGAGACCAGAAAGACACCCAAAGTGTGTTACTTTGTAACTCTAAGACACCTAAAATGTGTTACTTTGTAACTCTAAAAAACCCAAAGTGTGTTACTTTGTAACTCTAAGGTTCTCTCACCCTCCATAGCCAGAGACTGCTCCTTCTTAATCCAAAACGACTCATTCTTATAAATCCCACCTCCCCCACTTCATTTGCTGGCCACTTTCAAAAGGTCACAGGCAGCTCCATAGAGGTCACTGCTTGGGAAACAAAGGCCAGTCTCCTGTCACATGACCTGACCAAGGGGCCTGCAGCTGTGAATAGATTCTGTCTTGCTAATGTTTTCCAGACACCTTTTCTTGCTCACCCAGTTTTTTTTTTTTTTTTTCCCACATTGCTATGCCTGGACTCTGGAGTTCACAACAGTTACTAGGCATGTTTTAGGACATCCCTGCTAAGAAAGAGTGTCTCTTCAGACACTACTCCTAAGTCTTAACACAGCTGGATAAAGAAAAGCTTGTATCTCATGCAGTACTCAGAATTAAAATGTCTTGAAAATTAATCAGAGGGAGGTGGTGTAACCCCAACAATCAGGAGACTGAGGCAGGAGGGTAAGGTTTGAGACTGCCTGGGCTGCACAATATTGTGGATACTGGCTGACTCAATAACAAAGAAAACCCCACTAAACCTAAGGGGAAACAATGTTTCCAATGAGGAGATGAAGACTGGACTAAGTTACAAGCTGTCCCTGACATCAAGGCAGGGGCTCACCTCCACGTAAGTCCTCTGCCATGCCTCCAGGATGGCTGCCGCCCTATCCTCGTTCCAGTTGATATGAGAGACATACTCGTAACCTCTGAAGTGCTCGTACATTTGCTTGGGGGTCATTAACTGGAACATGGTTTGCAGGGCGTGAGCGCTGTGTCAGGGTAAATGGACAGAAGGCAGGTCAGCACCGCCAGCAAGCAGTGTGTGCGACGTGAGGTCCCGCGTGACCGCCCCCAACTCTCCCCCAGACTTCATCCGTCCTCTGTGCGCACATGTTTCCATTCAAACAAGACCAGGATGGTTATTGTATTTAATAGATTGATGTACCATATTAAAGGTGTAACCTTACAAACCTTTTACAGATAGACCCCAAAATTAAATTAATAGGCAATTTCCTTTCTCAGTTCCTATTCCATGAAACAGGAAGGAGAGGGGAGTAGATAGCTTGACCAGATACACTGGGTTCAGCCACGCACTCTCTCTGTGCAGAAATCCCAGAGACAGTGTCCCAAGGGAGAAACCTCAGACGGAACACCTGACACTTGACTGACTGGAGTCCCCGGCTGCACAAAGGCTAACTCTCATATGGGCTGTAGTTCCTGGGCTTTGACTCTTGAAGCTCCCACCACTCAATCCCACACTATGAATGGATTTTCTTGCCCCACGAGTCTACATAAAGGCCAGACGTTTCAAAACCGTGAAACAAACGACTACAGCTCCAGTGGAAACCACAAATCCATTCTAGAAAACTTTGCAAACGGGCCTGATGTGCTCATGCTCCCCCAGATTCACTGACCCTGGACAGCTAGCTAGGACTAACATGAGGCCAATAATAAATACGGGATGGTGTGGGGTACGGTGTTGGATTACCTGACCAGTTTTCCAGTGGCGTTCTTGACTGTGCCACCCACAATCAACTCCTCCTGCCAATGCATATACTTCCTGGATAAACCTTGACATCCACCATTCAAAACAAGGGCCACATCAAGAGGCTGTAATGAAAAGACAGCCACATAATTACGGGAATTAGTAGGCAGGTCACATGCCTCGTTAAAATCCAGTGCGTTAAGGGCTTGTTTGTTTCAGAGAAAACATTAATAACGAGACTAATGAGGGTTATGCTAAATCTTACAGCAAAACTTAGCTCTGTAAACAACTTTAGTGCCATACACCAAATTAAAAAAGAACAAAACTCATGGCAAATGAAATCTTTAAGATGAAAGTAATAGAGGAAGAGAATGAAATAGAAAAGGCTTTTCCCCCCCACACACACACTCTCTGGAAACTCACTTTGGTTGAATTTTTGTTGGGGGCTGTGGCGGGGCAATCTGGGTCAGCCGGGTTGAGGCAGGGCCGGTCCATGTACCCATGGCCAACTTCGGCTTTATTCAGCATTTCCTCCCAGCTGTCCACTTGGTAGTTTATTTTCTTTAACTCTTCTAGGAATTCCAAGGGGTCAAAGTTTGTCCACCGCAAAGGGGGCTTACCTCTGCGAAAGAAATTAAGAGGTGAGGCCATGGAAAACCAACCGGCTTCAGACAGGCAGGAGGGCACTGTGGCTCCATCTGTGCAAAACAGGCTGTGCAAAGCAAAATTCTGGGACTTGGGTAAAAAGGGAAAATATATTGTTCCTCCCCAATAAAGCTATTTATGAACAAGTCAGGAAAAGAATTCATGACTAAAGAGGACAAGCAGGGAGCTTGCAAATTAACACAGATATCAGAGACTTTTAATCACCTAACGTTGTATTTAATATGTTTAAAAAGTTAGCCAATGAGGAGTGGACGTGGGTACTTCTAAGCAGGACACCAAGATCCAAAATTAAAAACCAAACGAGGGAATCACAATACAACATCAGTGCCTCCTAGTTTTAAAAGAGGCTTTCTAAATGTCACCAATCAAGTATCTGACCTGTAACCGTCAACAATTCATTCTTATGTGCCCTCTCTGGCAGGCTGGCAGTGGGGTGGGCAAGCCCCCCATGGGCTCCTGCCATCACCACCATCACAGCCACTTCCCCCACACTCACTTTGGAAACTGCACTGGTGACAGACCAGAAAGGCTTTTGGCTGCCTGCTATGTGGTTCAAACCGCACTGTAGCTGCTTAACCAGGCTGAAGTCATTATTCAGACTCTCCCAACCAGAAAACACAAAACCCCTTATTTCCCATCTAAAACTGTACACTGAAGGTCAGGGGATGGCCACTGCAAATTGCTTTTGCAGATATGTGCCGGCCAGGACGGAAACAATAACCCAAGCACTAACTCTTGCGTAATTAGCTGAAAAATGTCTACACTGAGTAACCATCAGTCTTTAAATGATGTGGTGTGTGTGACTCCCAACTGCCGGGGCTATGAAGCATCCCTTGTCATGGCCTTAACAGAGGGCGTATATCCCCCTTAAACATCATTACTGCAATCCCAAGAAGGGTTAATATATGACTTTGCTGGAAGATCTTGAATCTTATAGCTTCAAGTATTTCTTTGTGAAATGTACCCAGCAATAAATTCTCTTCTTAAAGGTTTGAGTGCTGGTCTGCGTAACCGCAAGCATTTTATAAAGAGTTTTTAAAAAATTGCACGGGCTGCTCAGTAATTTGCATTTTATTTGCATATAAATAGGTTGGTAAAAGTGAATGAAATTTAATGATGCCTACAGAACTGTTTTTGAAAAAAGAAAAAAAAAACATTCTGCTGAAGTCCCCTCTCCCCCCCCACCCCCAACCATTCACTCAAAAAAAAAAATGCGCTTGGAATTTCAATGTTTTTATTCCTCGTCCAAAACTGAAACAGAATAAACAATGATAAAGCACACCGGAAACTGTGACAGAGCCAAGCAATTCGACCCTGAGGCCACACTTACAGGAGGTACGCTGTCCCCGACTGCAACTTCGCCCCTTCCCAGAAGCAGTCCAGAGGTGTGATGATCAAGCAAGGGTAAAGGTATTCTATTATCTGTCAAAGCAAAAACAAGGAGTGCATTAGGCTAACACTCGATGCTGGGGTTGTTTCCAGAAACTGTGAACGGTTTTTCCCTCTTTGCAAACAAGGAAAGCATGTACCTGATCCATGTAACCTGTCTCCGTGATAAGTTCCCCTGATTTGTAGCACAAATGTTCCAACTTCCACTGCCTATTGGGATGAAAAGCAGAGAAAAGTAAAACAGAACACTTCTTACTGCAACGAAACGAGCTAAGAACTGGAGCAACAGGACTTATCAAAAGGCTGTAATTTCGATCACGTTGAAGCATCTGTCAAAACCAGCAGCGCTTTTGCCAAGCAGAAAGCTGGCAAGCTCGTTTTAATGAATAGATAACACTGGATCGTAATTAACATGTGGGGTGTTTATGTAAATGAACGCTACCCAAGTACTTGAAAAGTCTTGTTTCCTTAAGTGTTCTACCAATAATCTTGTTTACACCATTAATCTGCTTTTCCACATACATTAAACAACCTGCAGCGATCCAGTGACATTATCACAAATTCAAAATAAGTGGAGCTTGAGATAGTGTAGCAAGTGTTGGGATATCGTCAGGTGGGAAATCATTGCTGGCTTTTATTTATCTTTTTTTTTTTAAACCAGCAGATGTTATTTGTAGGTCAAGTCTGAAACATTCCTCCTCTTAAGCACAAATGTTAAAAGCAACCTCTGCCAGGTAGACTGCATGCATTCCCAGTCTGGTAGACATGACCTTAAACCCACAACTTTTTAATGTGTTTAGGGAAATAAGTGTTAATCAAAAATAAAAGGATATTTGGAAAGAGAAGAGATGGGAAACCAAAGGAATGAAAATAAAAACTAACACACACATACCCCAAACTGCTCTATTTTATTGGTCTTCTTAGGAGGCCTGTCTTCACCCTTGGTGCCCTCTTCCCTATGCTTCTTTCTAGAATTTTCCCATCTTTCGCTCAGTGCCCTTTAGAGAGTCTACCTTCTTGCTAGTAAGTTTTCTTTGCCTAATGCTGGTGAAAATGGTTCTTCATGTGGAGTCCTGGCTGTTATCCCATACCTGGGGTATGTAAGGTGGGCACTGCCCATGCCTGGCTTTGTCTATGCCAACCTGTGATTGTATTTCTCGTCCATTCACCATCTCTCCTTCCTTCCTCTTACTTATCTACCTGCTGATCATGTAGGTCTCTCTTTCTCTCCACACACTCATACACTCGCTCTCTCTCTCTCTCTCTCTCTCTCTCTCATACACATACACACACACACACACACACACACACACACACACCTCATTAACTCTGTGTAGTGCCAGCATAGACTATCCAACATTACAAGTAGGTTTTCAATGCCATCTGATGAGCCAGTTCTCTGTGTTTGCTTGAGGAAGACACTGTTGATCATTCACTGGGTGTGGATCCAGAAGAAGGGGTTTGAAACCTGGACTCATCATTTAATAACCTTAGGATCTTGGACAAATGCTCCATTTGATCTCATTTTAAGTTTTTTTTTTTTCATCTAAAATACACATACATCGACTATGCAAGGGTTCGTCTTAGCGTCTTTTGAGAAGGATGTCACCTCACAGTGGGGAACCTTTAATCATGTCCTCAAGCATGTGACTGGCACATGCCTCAGAGTGGGTCTTAACATATGATGTATGTGGGGTCACCCGGGGCATGCCAAGAGTTTATAGGGCCTTTGACTGCAACTCCTGCCATCTAGGCCAGGCAGCTACCTTCTCCACAGTGCACACCAGTGGTGGGAGGACAGCAGGTTGCTAAGATCTGTCCACACCTTCCAAAGCTCACCTGACCTCCCCTGCTCCACCAGGGGCCATGCATGTGGTTCCTACCCTGAAGGGACTGACTGGATAGACAAGTCACTATAGATAAAGGGGGAAACAGATGTTGATTCTGTTCCAAAACTCCCTTAAAAGGTGTATGTATAAATCTACCTCACTCAGACATCCCAGAGAATTCCCAGGGAAACTCAACACCCACCCCTCCATTTGCTCTGAAACTAATGTCACCTGTACATGCAAAGTAAGACTTCCTCCCCCTCCTCCTCCCTCCCTCTGCCCTTTACACTGCTGGCTGAGATTACACTATCCAAAGAAAGGTTCAGTAATGGAGATGGTTTACCAAGTGAACAAAGTATTCAATTTGGGGAAAAAAATATCTTAAGCAGTGGGATAAAGATCAGCGTGTAACTCCTACAAGAGAACCACATCCATCTGTGAACCATGCCAAGATACTTAGTCGAAATACATTGCAGAAGAGATGGCTCAGAGGTAAAGCGCACTTGCTGCTCTTGCAGGTGACCAGGTTTGATTCCCAGCACCTATATGGCAGCGCACACTCTCTAACTCCAGTTTCAGACTGCACACCTGCACACATGAGGTACACTGACACACATGCAGGCAAACAAGCAGATGATATGGCTGACCACATACCTAATCTCAAACATTCACATCTGGAAAGCTCTAGAATCTGAACTTTTGGACAAAAGCATCATGCCACAAATAGAAAATTCCATACAATGAAACTCCATTTTTTTGCACAAAAATAAGTACTAAAATATTATATAAGGTATATTAGAACATAAATCAGTTCTGTCTTCAGTCTTGGATCTTGCCCCCAAATAAATCCTATTATTTACATGGAAATATTCCAAAATAAATTTATTTTAAATGTTTGAGATACTTCTGGGTTCCAAGCACTTTGGATAAGGAAGATTCAATGTGTAGTATTTTGCTAACAACCTCTAAAAACAAACCAACAGGGGGAAGTGATCAATGGTAGCACTGTATAACATCTATGAAACCCTGGGTTCTAAAGTTATCAGAAAACTGTTGAAATCAACTTAATAATCCAAAGGCGAAGTTATTTCCGGAAGCAAGAGGCCTGCCTGCTGGCCGGTGCACACAGCACAGCTGGCCTTACCTGTTATACATGTAGACATGCACACGGCTGGCCTGCAGAGCCGAGTCCAGGTGCTGAAGGAGAGCCTCCGTGGTCAGGACGTTAGCGCCTTCTTCTTTTGGAGTTTGTATCATGAGTTGAGGATTAAACATAGCCTCTTCTCCTATCTTCTGCCGGGTATAATTTAATTCTCGACTCACTCGTCCACCAACTGACAAACATGGATAGGTATCGATCAGAACAGAACTCACCTCAAAACCATTCCCTAAAAGACAGGTTCAGTAACCGGGAACAAACTGGAGATGAAACTCGAGTGAACGGCAAGGTTGGCTTTAGGAATGACAAGTCTAATAAAAAATAATACTCTCTAAGCCCAATGCTTGTCAAATACCCAAATCTACTGGATGCATTCTGACCAGACACCACAGGTCTAAGAGAGGAAGGGATGGAGAAACACAATATACCTTTCTTTTTTCTGTGGACCAGAACAAAACACCTTTGGTCTCTTTTACTTATATCTACAATATGCCTACAGAACATTTTGTGATAAATGACACAATTTACACTCTTCTAAGCAATCTAGTAAAGGTAACAAGGGAAAGTTTCTCCTCCATGGAAAAGTCACAAGGAAGGCAGCCCGTGGGTGCTCAGAACACAACCCGTGGGCAGAGAGACTGTGATTCCAGTCAGAAGGGCCAGGGGAACTCCACAGCAGGGGAACATCAGGATCACCTGGTCAGCATCCAAAAAACACAGGCCTCAGGTTCTCAGTCCTCTGGGAAGGTGTAACCTGTCTGGAAGATCCCAGGTGCTGCTGGGCCTTCCACTGAGGCCAAGGAGGAACTCTATCCAGCACCGACTGACTCTTCCACAAGTTTGGCTAAAGCTAGGCATACTGGCACGCAGGCTCAATGATTTTTAAACCACTGACTCTGGATCTCCTTTCTGTGTACTCTGAACACTAAGAGTAAACCACACTCTGCTGAGAGGCATCTTGGGAAGACAGAGGATCTGCTTCCATGTGCGCACACACACACAAGGCAAAGAAAGCTGGTCTGAATAGTTCCCAAAGTCACCGATAAGCTCTGAGTTTCTGAGACACAGACCTCTGGCCATCGCTCGGAAAGCTCGGAAAGAACTTGGTGATTGTCACTTTCCCACGAGGAGGAATCCTTTTTCTTCAAGTTTAGTATTCAAGGACATAAACATTTGGTTTGGGAAAGTAAGTAAGTACTGAGAACAGTGGGGTGTTTGGTTCTCTTGGCGTATTTTATAAACAGTGGGGGAGGCTAGAAAGCAAACAATGGCCTCATTAGGAAAACGAGCGCAGACTCTTGAGCTGGCAGGACCCGATGCATGGGCCCAGAAGCCACCAAGGCCACCATGGAGCTCAGAGATGAGGCTAAAGGAGCGTATGGCTGTGGGAAGAGGGCAGCGAAGGGTTCATAAAAGGTATTCAAAGTGTGCAGATAGCTTGGGGAATGCCAGAGGGGGATGGCTGAGGCCTTTACCAAAGTCGTTATAGAAAAGCAGGACTAGGGGGTGTGGCTCGGGGCCTGCCTGGCATCTACAAGGTACTGAGTTCCAGCCTCAGCACTAGGGAAACTCGGAAGCAAGCCCTCTCGTCCTAACCAAAGACAGTCTCTTGTTCACTGTGGGCAGGCTTTCAGGCACCTAGCCAACTGAATTTGACATCTGCCTGTGTGGAAACACCGGAGCACCCCTGAAAAGCTGCAAGGCAACCCCACATCTGCACAACCTCTTCATTTCTCTTAGTGTTCTCACGTCTCATACCCCAAACCTGGACTCCCCTTGCCTCCTTGTGACCAGACCCTGCTGAGGACACTGTGCTCCCTTGTGTTTTAAAACTAAAACTCGGGTGACTTCAAATCAAAAGGACAACAATAATAATATTGATACTAATAATATATTTTTTTAAAGCTAAAATAAAAGCAAGCCACAAAGCCGAGCCCCTTTCTCCCCCAACACACAACTGCTTTTACAGCAGAGCTCTCTATGCGAATCAAGACCGTTTGACGAGACATGGGCCTTGGCCCACACATCTCCATTTACAGCCCTCGACACAAGCGCTCACAAAGATAAGAAATCCACTGCCCAGCACACGACACACTGCTAAGGACATCGCTGTGCACTTTCAAGCTAAACTCTCTGCATAGGGGGTTTCAGAAAGGATATTCTTCCAGGTGGTGCTAGTCACGCCTTTAATCCCAGCACTTGGGAGGCAGAAGCAGGAGGATCTCTGTGCGTTTGGGGCCAGCCTGGCCTACAAAGCGAGGTCCAGGACAGTCAGGGATACATAGAGGAACCCTGTCTCGGAGAAAAATTATTAAAAGCAAGCAAACAAACAGAAAGGAAAGTCTCAAAATAGAACAATGTAATTCATTGGCCCTGTTACCATCCTATAGTGTATGTTAAAATAAATGCATTTTAAGCAACTGAATATCCATTCTATCTTTGGGGTTGCATGTTTTTGTTTTCTTTGCTCTAGGGATTAATACTCATTATCTTTTCAAAAAGATTTAATAGTCCCAATCATTTATATTTGTGTGTGTGTATGGGAGTATAAGCTATGCACTTGAGTGTTGTACCCACAGAGGCAAGAAGATGACATTAGATTTCCCTAGAGCTGGAGTTACAGGTGGGTACGAGTTACCCAATGTGGATGCGGGTTACCAAGTTCAGGTCATCTGCAAAAACAGTACGCTCTCTTAACTGCTTAACTCATAACCGTCAGTTATGAATCTTACCTATGTGACAATCAGCACCAGCCAACGCAAGATCACAACCATCAGTGATAAAGTAGGCCATGCAAGCAGCAGAGTTGAAACTTTGCAAGAATGCACGCTGCGTCCTGATGATAACTAAAAGGCTTACCTGTGCCTCTGATGCAGTGACATTTTAGGCCTAACATTCATATTTTATTTATTTATTTTTAAGTCTTTGGGTCAGGGTTTCTCTGTGTAGCTTTGGAGCCTGTCCAGGAACTCGCTCTGCAGAACAGGTTATCCTCAAACTGACAGAGATCTGCCTACCTCTGCCTCCCGAGTGCTAGGACTAAAGGCGTGCGTGGCTACTGCCTGGCCTTTACTGAATATTATTTAACTGAGTGTTTTTGCCAGATGACTGGCTAACTCATCCACAGTTGTTTAAACAGCTCGGCTCACCCAGCCAGGATCTATCTCGCTCTGGGTGCACAGGGTGTGTGGCAGGTGGCGTGTACTAAGGAGTAGGAACACTTGGTGGACAGGACCAGGCACTCCTGCCTAAGGCTCTGCTCCAGGAGGGTTACAGGACCAGGGACATGAACAGACGATGCTAAGAAAACCATGCGTCATGAAGACAACTAAGGTGAGCTGGGAGACATCACGATGAAGCCTGATTTCTGCAAGGAGAGGGTGGCTGGAACCCGGTGAGAGTGGATGATGTCATTCATTGGCTTGCTCCAGGAGATTCAGCTCCTAGGGTAGACTAGGCACCACCAACTGCAGCAGTACTCACCCTATGCGGTGAGCAAGCTAAGGAACGGAAGCCTCTCAGGACAGAGCTGTTTTACAGGCTTGCCTGACTCTTGCTGGCTATCTTGGCAAACGCCCATGGTGAACCAAGGCAGAAGGAGAGCCTGAAGCTGCTCATTCATTACCTGGCTGCCTTCCTGCTGCTCTGAAGTCCCACAAAACCCATGTTAGATGATTACAGTCCTGCAGATCAGAGCTGGCCTATAACCTCTGACTTTAAAAGATCTGAAAGGCACAGGGCTTGTGTGTGTGTGTGTGTGTGCGTGTGTGCACGCGTGTGTGCATGAGACCCCATTTACTACCTATGGCAAGTATCCAAGTTCTGTAATCTAAAATGAACTTGTTTGGGTTTAGGATGTAGTTTAATGAAAGAAAGAAGGTTCGGCTGACATGTAGGAGGCCCTCGGTTCAACGTCAAGAATGAATGAATGAATGAGCTAAGAAAGTCAACACATTATATATTAAAGCCCTGGTCTCTTTCCCACCTTCAAGGTCAAAGTTCCTCTTGCATAGTTTTTAAATAAATAACCAAATTTCACCTATGTGAAAGTACCTAAGGAAAATGAGCCATAAAATTCAGCACTCCTCAGCTAGCTACAGGGTCAGTGAACCATTGGACAGCTATGATTGCTGAGTAACGATCTATGAATATTTATCTGATTTCTTGAATTAATCCACTTTTAGTTTTTTGCAATGCAGACTTCCTTGTTTAAAAAAAAGAGGGAAGTAGGAAGGGAAGGAGAAAGGGAGAAAGGGGAGGAAACCATGTGACAAGAAAAGACTTCCTAGACACAAGAATTACAAACAGATTTAAGGGCTGGAGGGAGACTCAGAAGTTAGGAGCACTGACTGCTCTTTTAAAGCACCTGGGTTCAGTTCTCAGCACCCGTTCTGGGTGACTCACAACTGCCTTCAACTCCAGCTCTAGGGTCTCTAATGCCTCTGGCCTCTTGGGTACCACATTTACATGCCCACATGCAGACCACACCCACAAATATGTAATTAAAAATAATAAAGTTAAAAATAATATAAGTTCCACAGCTGAGGGTGTGGCTCCGTTGGCAGAGTGCTTCCCCAGGAGGTTAAGAAGAGACCAGGTAGGGTGCAGTTCTGTGATCCTAGCCCTCCTGTGCAAAGGCAGGAGGATCAGAAGCTCAGGGTCATCCTTTGCTACAGAGTGTTTTTAACAGAGGACCAGCCTGGACTATGTGAGATCCTAGCTAGTTAACAAATAAACAGACTCAAGTACATACACCTTACTGCGATCTTTTAATCCATCTTATCCCTAAATGTATTATCTCTAACAATAAAATAACCATTGGCCTCTCTGAAAGAGACTCAGGATCCCAAGACCTAAAACAACCGTATGCATTTGTGACTCTGTCCATCTGCAGAGCTCTTAAAAAAAAAATAAATAAATAAAACACTGTTTGCTTAGAGAAACTTTGAGTAACTCCATCGACCAGGGGCAGCTGTGTCACACAGGCTCTGAGCAGTTGACCAGGCCATAATGGGGCTATACTAATCCAACTACCCTGCCAGCTTCCCTACACCTCACAGGCAACTATGTATCCCAGAGTACATTACACTCCCAGCTTGAGCTTTGAGGATGTAGACAAATAGCTTCCCCCTTATTTACTGGACACATTTGTTGCATCCGTTACTTTGTTGTCAC